GGGCTTTGTTGGCTCCTGCGGCGGCTGCACCGCTTGAACTGGAAGGGGCAGCGGCATGGGCGGTGGGGGCGGGAGCGGCTTGCGCAGATCGTGCGGCATGGGAGGCACCTCATCCTCCTCCTCGGACAAGCACACGGCCGTCTCCACCGGGGGCTCCGGTTTTGCTGGTGGCTGCGGCAGAGGCTTGCGACGCCGCGCCGGAGGAGGCGTCGGGGTTGAAGCGGGCACAGGCATCACCGGCAACGGCTCGGGCGGTGCAGGCACCGCAGGCACAGCAGGCACCGCAGGCACTGCCGGCACGGGCTTGGGGGCCGTTGCGTGACCAATCGGCCGCCGGATTCTTCCGATAGGCGCGGCCAACCTGGGAAAAGACTTTGCGGCACAAGATGAAAAGACGTGAGTGTTAGAGCGGCTCCGGTGAGTGACACCGCGGCCAAGCCGCTTGATGTCGAGGTCGCAGCGGCCGAGGTCCAACCGAACGACCTGGACCTCAATTGACTCGAATCATGCGCACGATGCCACAGGAAGACTTTGTGGAAGCCTGTGCTGACATGTCGGAGAGCGGCCTTCGCAGGCAGCCACCGGCCCGCCGAGACGCTCCAGTACTCCACTTGCTCGCCGACCTCCAACAAGCCAACAGGCGCCACAGCACGTCGTCCGATCCTCTCCTCCTCTCCTCCTCTCATTCTCTTGCGTGGCACCTCGTAGCGCTCTTGGGAGGCCCGTGGCGAGGAGCGGACCTGTGAAGGCCGGATGCCGCCATGGATGCAGACAGCACACCGATCGAACTCCGCGGCCTTGTCGGCGGAGACTCCCTTCTTGCAGTCCAGGTCATAGCAGATGTTGCCCTCCTGGCACTGCTATGCGCTGATCAGCCACATTCGTGGCTGCACTGCGTGCCAGCGCACGGCGGGGTCCTGTTCGAACATGCGGAGCACCAGCGTCTCCACCCACCTCTGCTTCGTCTCGCTGAAGTACTGCACCTGCACAGCACATCCCCGACACCGAGCCCGTGCCAGCGCGAGCCTGCACGCGCCAGCAGAAAAGAGATCAGAGCCTGGTCTCCGGCTTTGAAACCGCAGGCCAGCGGAGGAGGAGGCACGTCGACCTCGCAAAGCGCTGTCACGACAAAAGTGAGTGCAAGAGATGAAACATAGGAACAACGGTACAACGGCGGGGGCGGACGTTGTGGGCCAGGATTGGGCCCAGAAGGGGCCGCGGAGCCTGTCGAATGCTGGAATGGCATTGGGGTGGAAGTGCTGCGCCCGCACACGCGCGGCGCTCGCCTTCAGCAGCGAGGCGGTAGCTTCCGACGTGCCCGAGACCTCGCAGCACAAACAGCACATCAGGCACGATTGCCACATGAAAGGTGCCCTCGCAGAAGTGACGGGCACGTGCCTTGCGGACTCGGTTCAGGGGAGCTCCCGGCTTCACATCCAGGTCACAGGCCCGTGCCTCGAGAGGCGATGCTCCGGACTCCACGACTTTCCCCTAACAGGCTCCTGCAGCTGAGGCGCCTCCAAATTCAGCCGCTCCACCTGCAACGCAGAGCAGCGCTTTTGGTCTCACTTTGCATTTGGCTATTTGGGCCTTCGCAGGCATCCACCGATGTCCCGAGGCGCTCCAGTATTCCACCAGCTCGCCTACCTCACAGTTGACCCTACAGCTCCTAAATGTTGAGTTGCATCTCTGTCACCAACTTCGTCTTTCTTCGTCATGTAAATGAAACTGCAATTTTTGAAACTGCAATTCCACTGAGTGCTCGCGTCATTCTTTCACCACCATGGTTCGAGGCGTTTCAACACATGAAAACATGATCTCCTCTCCTCGGACCTCGTCCGATGCTCCCGAGCAGCAGCGCCGCGCTCAGTCTCCCCTTTTCAATGCTTTCTTCCACCGATCCAGCCACTGTGAAAGCATCACAAACAGGCGATGGCAGGAATGGTGAGGAGGTATATTATATGAGGGAGGTACAAAGGGCATTACGTCTATCGACTGTCTCTAGTCTCGTTGGGGGAATCATGCGGTTTTCCTGCATCGCGCGGATTTTTTGGAATCGCTTGGCTTCCTGACTCGCGTGGATTCCTGAATCGTAGCCGTCGTAGCCGTCTTGAGGCGTCGACTTTGTACTGGACCCCGGAGTGGCGCAGCCGCTCTGCGGGAACCCCCTTCTTGCAATTGAGGTCGTACGCGACGATGGCCCCGTCCTGGTAGGCGAAGGCTGCACAAAAGCAAGTAATTGCTGTCAAAGCGCACGTCTTTCGCATTGCGACGCCCATCGCTCCTTGGCCTGGTGGCCTTCCACCTCAGCAGGAAGCAGACTGCAAATCCACATTGATTCCAACGCAGTTCGGTAGATCCATGCTTTTGGCAGGGCCCCGATTCAACTTAGCCCATGCAGCAGAGGTGCGACCGCGTCGATCCATCGTTCCTTCGTCTCGCTGAAATATTGCACCTGAAAACTGCAGCAGCCACGCTTGCATCTGCAACTACACGGCTGTGGACGAAAAAACAACATCACAGCATTAAAGCGCTGTCTGCACAAAGGGTGGCCTCCTCGCCATTGTCGAAGCGAGCCTCGCTCCGGCATAAAGATTACGCCCACACAGCCCCCCGCTGCATTGAGTGTGGCAATGAAAGCACAAGTAGCACTCTTTCTAGACATTACTTTGCTATATTTGCGGAGCCCTGTCCCGTCCCCGTTCACCTCGTGGCTGTCTCCATCACCAGCAGCCTGTCCATGTGCACAGGAAGCAGCAGGTCAGTTGGCCGTGCATCTGGCAGCCCCTTCCTGGTCCCGAACCTGGAGATCCTCGGTAACCTTCTTTGCCTGCCAAGTTTGGAAGCTTCCAAGCTTCGGAGCTCTTGGGCTTGCTGAGTTCACTGCCGGTTCAGGAGCCGAAGGATCCTGGCCACTCGGCTTGCCGGAGACCTTGTGCTTCGCAAATCATTATACTTGATCATCTGCATGTGCTCTGGATCCAAAGCTCCACACGATCCGTCGACGAGATCTACTCTTACTCCACCCCGAACCGAAGAGGCTGTCGCGACCGAGGAGCCTCTGTGATCTCATCTCCTGCACCCGTGGAGCTCCGGGCTGCTGGAGCTGGCCTCAAGGCATGTGACTAACAAAACTAACACAAGTAAACAAGTAATAAGTAAGACTTGACTTGTTCTGTCGCAGATTCTGGCGTTTCGATGCGCTCAGGCTCCAGACGCGTCCTCGGCGGTGCTGGCATCCTTGACTCTCGCGATCTCTGCCTCGCGCCGCATCGGCTCACCCGAACGCGACCCCCAAAGCGGCTCCCGGCCTGAGCCCTCGCGGTTAGGTCGTAGGACAGCAGCTCGCCGTCGGCGTCCCGGTTCACTCTTTGGACGTGGGCTTCGACCTGCGAACACCAAGGGGATGCCCAAAAGGATGACTCCCACACGCGGCTCCAAGCGTCCGCACCCACTTGCGGTGCGTCCCGCTCCAGTAGCGAACTTTCTCGCCGATGGCAAAGACCCCTCGGATGGGCAAGCCGCTAAGCCGCTAAAGTCCGGTAAAGCGCACGTGAGCATTCGGAAGACTCGCAGACTGCTCGCAGACCAGGTGCGTGGAGGATCTTGAGGGGCCGGTTTCAGCGGAGCGCTCGGGGCCTGCGCCTGGCCAGTCTTGGCAGACGGACTTCACGAAACAAATGTGCCGTCGCGGCCTCCGGGCTTGCCACTGCCGGGACGGAACTCTTGTGCTCCTCCTCACATCGAGATTCGCCGGGCAAGCCTCCTTCCCTCCTTCCGCTCTCTCAGAGGCTGAGGGCCTGCTGTAGCTCGCGGTCCCGCCGCTCCTCCCGCTCCTGCCGGAGCTCCTGCATGCTGCTCCGTGCTCAGCTCTGCGACATATGCGGCATGCGTGACTGAAACTGCACGGCGATCACTGCCTTGTCAAGTCTCTCCTTGCGCCGTCGCCAGGGCGGCGGGTCCGCCTGAGCATTGCCGCACGTTGACTCAGTTGACTCTGCTTGCCAAGCTTTGCACCAGCCTCGTGAGAGGCATCGGCCTAGCGACGAACGCCGAAGCGTGGAGCTGCTGCTTCAAGCTCGCAGAACGCCCCCGCCTCGGCCCCTGCGGAGCGCCAGGGAGGCGGTCCCCGATCCAGCGACTTCCTCAGATCCAGTGCCGAGAAGCGAAAGACTCGATGCCGACGGCACAGACGGCTGGGTTTGTGCTCGAACTCCCTGAATCAACTCGTGCACTCGGAAGAGTTGCTGCTCCAACTGTGGGCACAGGTGAAATACGAAGAGTTCGTGCTTTTGGCACTTCTGCTGAACCCCTTGGCTGCCATCCCAAGCGAAGGCTCGCGCTCCGCTTCTTGCCGCTGAGAATCGGTCTGCCAGCCCATGCCATCATCCTTCAAACATCCGATCTCGCGCTCGACTGCTCGCCAATATCCTAGCGCAGAGTGCTTTCCAGCAGATGCAATGCCAGCTACAACTTGTAACAAGGGTCCCTTCCCCGACTCCTTGTCCATTCCATGCATTTCCAGGAGCTGCAAGGTTCAGGCACAAATGCTGTTGCTGAGTGTTTTCTGCTCAAGACTGACTCTGGCTGAAAGTTCGAGGGCTCAGGTCGAACAACGCAGCATGACTAGTCCATGATAGGCACGGCATGAAAGGCACAGGCCGGCGTGGCATGGTGGGCTGTCCGACACGGCAGTGTTCTGCGAGCCTAAAAAGCTGTGCAAACCGCCCACCCGCTCTCTTGCTCTACTTTCCGATAATCCAGCATGGACCAACAACGACGACCGCTCATGGAAGGTCATCCGATCAAGACTGCAACTTCTGCAACGAGAAACCAAGTGATCATGGTATGCCCTTCCTGCTTCAGCAGTGGGGGACCAGTGTCCCGAATTGGAATTGGTGCATGCGGCCCGGGAGTTCGTGCAAGGCGCAGCAAGCATAAAGTTCGGGCTCTTTTTCCGCTAGCACCTTAACACGGCTTCACGGTCCTCAGGCTCGAACTCATGTCCTGAAACACAGTCCGGAAAACAGTCGGGACTCAACAATCACGAGCTGCTGCTCTGCCGGGAAGGCGCTCCTCCTCCCCGTCGGGGGCCTGACACCACTGGCGCAAAACAATGCTCGTGGTTACGGTGGTTACTGCAGCAATATCAAATGCGGCCGTTTCATAACAGGAAAACACCGGATACGGTAGTCCCAAAGCATCTCTCCAAGTCGACAGTTGAAAGCCCACATCTCCAAGCCTGTTTCGCATTCTGGAGCGTGACCGGCTCTTCAGGCGCAAGTCATGTCTGCCTTGTTGCGAAGCCCGGTACGTCGGAGCGACGTACAAAAATCCTTGAGTCCCCCACCTGCGTCTCCACGGTTCCTTTCGGCTGATCTGGGGGACCAAGGCCTTCCTTCTCGTCCGAGCTCCCGTCCATCTCGCGGCACACGCCTTCGAGCCAGGGGCGTCAAAGACCTTCGTCTTGGGCGCGGCCTGAGCTCGGCTGGCTCCCCAAGTGCAGGTGCGTTGGCATGAATCAAGTCGAAAGACGACTTTTCCGAGCTTTGCTGCCGTGCCATCGCCTCCTCCTGCAAACGCAGAATTCGGCAAAGGCGGCGCATTTGACATGCTCAATGATTCAATGGAAAATGGTGGCCTGCTCCATGACCAGCCTTTGCCATTCCACGGTCTCCATGGCCTGGGCTGCTGGATTCAAAGGGCTCGAAAAGTCAGGTGGAACTTTAGAGTGCCAGCTGGGGCAACGGCATCTTGGGCAGCCCCAACTAAATCACAGGCACCAAGTAAGTCCTCGCGATTTCCATTGCGGCTTCGATCGCGGTCCCGAGCGTCTCGTTGCCTTGCAGGTCGGAGGGAGAGGAAGTCTCAGAGCACTTGAACCAAATCCGAGGACCCAGCCGAGATGATGGCAGGGCCTTAGAGCTAGGGAGGAGCAATTCCCAGTTCATCACGGCAGTATCCTAGCACCTACCTCATACCCAAATCATAACAATCTCCCAATCCTCGACCTTTATCAAATACAAACTGCCTAAGGGCAGCCCCAGAGCCCTATATGGAGTCTTTCATGCTGTACCACCCTGCAGACTGCGCAATTTCATTTCACGACGAAAGCCCAACGACGCCCCAAGCCTCCCCTACTGTAGGCGCCGCCTGATGCTCATGATGCGCCCTCGCCACGGCTTCATACGGCTTCCAAAAACACGCAAAAAACACGCCGTGCTTTGGGGAAAGCCTCGTCGGAGCTGCTTCGATCCGATGATGCTCAGATGCCGGGTTGGCGATACTGGCGCCACCCCGGAAAGGGCCATGCCGGATTTATCGCCAATAGCGCCGAAGACAAAGGAGGAACGCAGCACGACAGGCCCGTAAAAGCGCACGGAGGCGCGGGCCGAAGAAGCAGCGAGAGACAAAAGCAACGGCCAAAGGCCATGCCAAGGACAAGGGAGGAAGGCAGTGGGACTGGCCAATGGCGCGTATAAAACGCGCCGCCCGAAGGAGAAGAGTTATGCAATACGTACCAGTAGCACGACGGGCCAATAACACGCGGAGGCGCGGCCCGAAGAAGTAGCAAGAGACAAGAAGAACGGCCAAAGGCCATGCGGAGCACAAGGGAGGAAAGAGGCAGGATTGGCCAAAAGCGTGTACAGGCGCGGCCCGAAGAAGGAAAAAAGCTATGGCACGACAGGCCAACAGCGCAAAGAGGCGCGGCCCGAAGAAAGCAGCGAAGGACGAGATTAGCGGCCAAAGAAGCAGGACTGGCCAACAGAAGGAGAAGAGGTATATGGCCAAAAGGCCACGCCGAGGGCAAAACAATATGCAGCACGACAGGCCAATAGTGCACAGATGCGCGGCTCGAATGACGAGCGAGAGATAAGAGAAACAGCCCAGGGCCATGCCGACGAGAACATGCCAATAGCGCACAAAGGCGCTGCCGAGGACAAAGCAGGAACACTCAGGCTGATAGACACGCAGGCAGACACACAGCCAGGAGGGAAATAGGCAAGTAGGATGTAAACAGCATAATTAAACCACACCGCCAGTGGATGCAGGAAGCAATGCCGGCCACAACAGCAACAACAACAACACCCGGAGAGCGTCAGGTTTAGATGCAATGCAACAAACCAACCTGTCACAACCACGTGCCTGTGCGAGAGCCAAAGAAGTTCCTGTTACAAACACGACCGGAGGCAGCAGGCGAAGGGAAATGAAAAAGAGAAAACGAAAGAGAAGAAGATGGCACTGTCGCCCCATGGAGGGACTGTGGGCGGCTTGTGCGTCGGCGATAAACACCGAGTTAATGCCGCCTTTTGGGGTCCCACCCCCTCAAATAGTAGCCAACCGCCCCTGGTCTAAAAATCAAAAACCTGTCGTCAAGCTTGAACTCCAAGGCTGGAGCCTTGGACTGATGGGGTGCCCCTGTTTTGGAATCAGAACTCTTCGTGTTCCCTGCACCTCCGGACGGCTCGTGCGGGTCTATGCCTCCCAGAGCCCCTCCCGTAGCCATGTTGGGTTCAAAGCCCATTCCACCTGACTGGCCATGTGCAAGTGTTGGAAACGTTCTCCAGACCATCCTTTCTGGGAGGAAGGGATGCCTGTTCTGTTGTGGCGCCATAGCCCTGCCCACATGCCTACGCCGAAGTGTTGGCCTCATAAAATGCTGATGTGACCCAGCAGGCTGGAAATCAGACACAAGTGGAGTGATCAATTCCCCTGTATCTGAAACCTTAGACATGGCTCACACTGAGGCGGAGATTCTGCGCGCACCAAAATAAGGTGAAGTCTGTGCTACATTGGACGTGGCACCTACGACTATGAAGCATTTGCTTGATCTAAACACAGCATGCTCATGACCGGTCTGTGATTGTGCCTACGACCAAGCGGAAAAAACCCAAGCGCTAAAAGATTCACATGTACAGGTACACATAGCAAGAACTACAAAGGTGGCATGCGCTTCACCACGAAATCTTCTAGAACTGGAACTCCGAGGGCGAGGCCTGGAACTGATGGGGCGGTGGTCTTGAAATCAGAACATTCTTTGTCACTCGCACTCGACGAATCAGGCGAGGTTTCGGGGGTAGACAGCGATTTCGCGCACCAAAACCCCGACGTCAGTCACCAAAACCCCGGGTTCAAGCACCACGCCTGCTTCAGTGACCAGAAACCCCTGGCTCAGCCACGACGTCAGCACCACCGAATACAAGCAGCAATGCCGATCTGCATCACCCCCAACACAGCTCTGAAAACAGCATATTCTACCTGTCCCTAACCTATCACCTCCCTATCGACATCCCACCCCAAAAGATAATTCGATTCAGTTCCCTCCACCCACAACCACCAACCCACCCTAACCCTCCAAGCACTTCCCCAATGAACCCCTACCCTCCTATCCTGCCCTACCCGATCCTTTCCAACCCGACCCTAACCTCACACCCCAATCCTCTCCCACCCCACCCAACCCTGCCCTGCCACCTGCTCCACGTTGCCCTGCCTCACCTCCCCCATAGCCTGCCCGCAAACCTTGCAAAGCACCACCCTGCCCGATGCCTGTCATGTTTCCACCATACCCCTACCCTACCCTTCCACAGCACTTCCTCACGAGCCTGCCCTGCCTTATCAGATCCGACCCTACCTACTAACCTGCCCTACCTACCTTTGCACTTGTCATGAGCCCCCCATGAGCTCCCCTCTCCAAACCCCCACCCTACAAAGCACTTCCTCATGAGCCTGCCCTGCCCGACCCGATCCTTCCCTACCGTACCTGCCCGCCCGATCCTTCCACCTACGGAACCCGACAAAAGCTGTTCAATCCCCTCCACCCACAGGCAAGCGAAACTACCCAGCCCACCCACCCTACCCTAATGGCTTGCCGGACGAACCCGACACCACATTACGAACCCTACCTGTCATGTTTCCACCATACCCCACCATACCCCACCCTACCCTACCCTACCCTAACCTACCCTACCCTCCAAAGCACTTCCTCATGAGCCCCTGCCCTCTCTTTGGTGCAAGGTGCTGTGTTGGTGCTTGTTACTGGTGCTGGTCGTGCTTGAAGCATGGTGCGTGAAGCTTGGTTGCTTGAAGCGCGGCCGGTTGCAGAAGCAGGGAACTACGAGGTTTCGGGACTTCCCCAGCTTGACAGTCGTTCTGATTTACAAACCTTGTTCGCCGAAGGGGCCTTGGACTCATGGGGCACCCCCTAATTTTCAAAGGGTGGAGTCTTGGACTGATGGGGGGGGCATATCAGAACCCTTACAAACCGCCATGCGTGTTCACAACGCCACGTGTCTTCACGAACAATGCCACGTGTCTTCGCGGGACGTGTCTTCAGGAACTGCCTGTGCTTGCCCATATGTTTTCGCGACGCAACGTGGGCGTTCATGGGGGATGTGTCCGCTCGTCGGCCCAAAAAATCTGCCTCGTCTTCGGCTATGTGTCTGCTGACGGCCACAAGGTGTCTGCGCAACCGCCGTCCTAGAGAGCCCGAGACGGCGGCCCCAAGTGTCTTCAAAGTCTTCAGGCGACATGCGCACATTGCGCGCCCCCCCCCCCCAGCCGACCGCAATTATAAATTGTATTATGTAAACTGAGTGTGCTTTACTGTATTCTATGGATTCCCTGATCCTAGATTAGGATGATTTTTGTCTGAATATCATACATGCTGCTAGCCACTATGGTCTATGTTTTCAGCTGCTGTACATTGTACTGGTACTCGGGCGTACTCCAGCATACTTGGGCATACTCGAAAGCACCGAAACCAACCTCGAAAACCCTGAACCTCACGCCGTCCTGTGTGAGGAGCTTCAGGAGGACGATGGTGGCAATTGGGGGGTGTGCGGTGGGCCCACTATCGGAAAAGCAAGACGAAAAGCAAGAGCAGCAAGACGTGGCACTTAAAAGCAAGCAGGGCCGCTTTAGCATTCCACTGCTTTCTGACCCTCGCCATGTTCCTACACTCCGCCCTGACACGAACCACTGAAACCAAAGTCGAACACCTGGCAACTCACACCTTCCGGATGTGGGTGTAGAATGAATTGGGGAATGCTCCTCCCTAGCCTTTAGATATCATAACTGTCAAAAACGCTTCACAACTCTGGCAAGGCAGTAGTCTGAATTGGAGGTCAGACCTTTGCCGTGGCTCCCGGGGGAATTCGGCGCCTTCCACCTGGATCCAGCAAGGATCTTTGAATGACACATGCCATGTGCACAGCATGTGCATGTACTCATCGCTTGCCTCGCTGTGGGTCTCGCTTGGTCCACACGTCATGCCTTGCACCGAGCTTCTTGAGTGCTTGTGTCCATCGCAGTTTCCTCATCAACACTCTCATCTACGAGTAGCAGAATCTAGCAGGGCAGCACACGTAGCTTCTGGCCCACTCGGATGTCAAGTTTGAAGGTTAGCGGATGGACAGACGATTACGAAATCCTGCCTCGAAGCACGCAAAAAATAACTGCACCATGCCCTCACTGCCCGTGCCTGGCTTGGGCATCCTCTCTGCCTGCAGAAACAGGCCATGGTCATGGCACGGCCTTCGCTGCCCTGGACCAGCCTGGCGTCTCCAACCTCGAGTGACGCCGACCTGCAGGGAGAGCCCCAGAGAAGCTTGGAGAAACGAGAGATGTCGTTCGTCGCGGCAAAGCAGACGCCTCCGTGGTCAGGACGGTCATCCAACCTGGCAACAAAATCGCCCCCTGCAGAATTCCCAAAGCGATGCCCACGCTGCAGCCTCGGCTCCTCGTGCACAGGCGCGTAATCACCTGCTGCGGGCACGCCAACGATCGCAAAAACGCATCAGCATGCATCAGCGCAGCTCGATCTTCGTCACAGCAAGCCTGGAGGCTTGCCTGGGCCGGGACTCGGAGCATCGGATTCCCTCCTTCGCCGCCGACGGCGACTGTGGCCCGGACCTGTGTATCACACTTTGCTCTGCCCTCTTTCTGTGCGAAGAGAGCCTGGGCGTGGACCATCTGGACCCTCGTCGCCATTCGTCGGCAGGACATCGGACCTGGCACTCTCGCGATCTCGCGTTTGAAGCACGTTGGAGCTGGCGCACTCCCGCCGCTCTTTGGCCTCACTTCTTTGGAGCCGTTCTCTTCCGCTTGCCCTTGCAAGTGGCAGGCAAAACCCTTTAACTATCAGACTATCGTCTTCCACTTCTGGATTCTAGGAGCAGGCCCAAGGCTATGCTCCATCCATGCATGCGAGCCTAGATCCGCATCCTTGTGCTTGCGCCGCCGCCGACGTCCTTTCTCCTAGCATTGGCATTATGGCCTAGACGTCCTGCACATGCATGACACTTCTTTGGCAGGCGTCTCGAAAGCTTGGTGACTGTTGTATGCCACCGATGCTTTACCTGCTGTCCCTGCCTTGGCTTGCTTTTGCAGGGGCTGGGCCAGCGAATCCAGCCTGGCACAGCGCAGCCTCTGACACGGTGGTGGTCTCCTGCTGCCAGGCTGCCAGGCCTGGGCTGCTCCTGAGCTGCCTGCACAGTCCGCACGGAGCTGCAAAGCGCGCACAAGTTCTGGCTCCCTGCCGCGCCTTCACCGAGCGCGGCAGCGTGGGCGGGGCCTCTCGAGAGCGGGCGGGCGCGCGGGCGCGCGCGGTGCGTGTGGTGCGTGTGGTGCGAAAGGCCGAGGCGAGGCCAGGCCTCGAAATCCAGGTCCTCGCTGGGCTCGCGGGGGCGCTTGAGCGGCTGCTCGACTGCAGGCGGAGCCGCAGAAGGCTCTGGCTCTGGCGCCTGGTCCTCCTCTTTAGGTGGTCTCTCTGTCGGCTCAGACTCCTCATCCAGCTCGACCCGAATGCAGTCAGCCGGCGAAGTTGGCTCGTCAGGCCCTTGCAGCTGGACTGGCGATCTGTAGGCTTGGCACGCTTGTCGGGCCGCTTGGAGCACGTGGCGAGGGGGCGTCGGAGTGCGCGTAATCTCCATGTCTTGCCTTGCCGGCTTCTCCTCCTCCTCCTCCTCAGATTCCTGGCTTGAATCCTGACTCGGGGATTTCTGCCTCACAGGCTCCGGTTCTGGCGACTTCTCCACGGCAGGCTCCTCTGCAGGCTCCTCCACGGCAGGCTCCTTTGCAGGAGACGGGGAAGGAGAAGCGTCCCTCTTCTCGGGCTCTTGCTTCTGGGCCTCGGTTTCGCTGGGCTTTGTTGGCTCCTGCGGCGGCTGCACCGCTTGAACTGGAAGGGGCAGCGGCATGGGCGGCGGGGGCGGGAGCGGCTTGCGCAGATCGTGCGGCATGGGAGGCACCTCATCCTCCTCCTCGGACAAGCACACGGCCGTCTCCACCGGGGGCTCCGGTTTTGCTGGTGGCTGCGGCAGAGGCTTGCGACGCCGCGCCGGAGGAGGCGTCGGGGTTGAAGCGGGCACAGGCATCACCGGCAACGGCTCGGGCGGTGCAGGCACCGCAGGCACAGCAGGCACCGCAGGCACTGCCGGCACGGGCTTGGGCGCCGTTGCGTGACCAATCGGCCGCCGGATTCTTCCGATAGGCGCGGCCAACCTGGGAAAAGACTTTGCGGCACAAGATGAAAAGACGTGAGTGTTAGAGCGGCTCCGGTGAGTGACACCGCGGCCAAGCCGCTTGATGTCGAGGTCGCAGCGGCCGAGGTCCAACCGAACGACCTGGACCTCAATTGACTCGAATCATGCGCCCCATCCCACAGGAAGACTTTGTGGAAGCCTGTGCTGACATGTCGGAGAGCGGCCTTCGCAGGCAGCCACCGGCCCGCCGAGACGCTCCAGTACTCCACTTGCTCGCCGACCTCCAACAAGCCAACAGGCGCCACAGCACGTCGTCCGATCCTCTCCTCCTCTCCTCCTCTCATTCTCTTGCGTGGCACCTCGTAGCGCTCTTGGGAGGCCCGTGGCGAGGAGCGGACCTGTGAAGGCCGGATGCCGCCATGGATGCAGACAGCACACCGATCGAACTCCGCGGCCTTGTCGGCGGAGACTCCCTTCTTGCAGTCCAGGTCATAGCAGATGTTGCCCTCCTGGCACTGCTATGCGCTGATCAGCCACATTCGTGGCTGCACTGCGTGCCAGCGCACGGCGGGGTCCTGTTCGAACATGCGGAGCACCAGCGTCTCCACCCACCTCTGCTTCGTCTCGCTGAAGTACTGCACCTGCACAGCACATCCCCGACACCGAGCCCGTGCCAGCGCGAGCCTGCACGCGCCAGCAGAAAAGAGATCAGAGCCTGGTCTCCGGCTTTGAAACCGCAGGCCAGCGGAGGAGGAGGCACGTCGACCTCGCAAAGCGCTGTCACGACAAAAGTGAGTGCAAGAGATGAAACATAGGAACAACGGTACAACGGCGGGGGCGGACGTTGTGGGCCAGGATTGGGCCCAGAAGGGGCCGCGGAGCCTGTCGAATGCTGGAATGGCATTGGGGTGGAAGTGCTGCGCCCGCACACGCGCGGCGCTCGCCTTCAGCAGCGAGGCGGTAGCTTCCGACGTGCCCGAGACCTCGCAGCACAAACAGCACATCAGGCACGATTGCCACATGAAAGGTGCCCTCGCAGAAGTGACGGGCACGTGCCTTGCGGACTCGGTTCAGGGGAGCTCCCGGCTTCACATCCAGGTCACAGGCCCGTGCCTCGAGAGGCGATGCTCCGGACTCCACGACTTTCCCCTAACAGGCTCCTGCAGCTGAGGCGCCTCCAAATTCAGCCGCTCCACCTGCAACGCAGAGCAGCGCTTTTGGTCTCACTTTGCATTTGGCTATTTGGGCCTTCGCAGGCATCCACCGATGTCCCGAGGCGCTCCAGTATTCCACCAGCTCGCCTACCTCACATGCCGCCACTCTCTTACTGGGGCAAAACAATGCCACACGCCTGGCCATATCCATATCGTATATGACATCTTAAATCTGTACACACACACCCTGGGCGCGAACACACATGTATTCCATACATATATATATATATATATATATATATATACACATATACATATACATATATCTATAGAAAAAAAATAGATATAGATATATCTATATGTGTTGCTACACATGCATGCATGCATGCATGCATACATACATTACATCACATTACCTTACAAGGCATGACATACCTATCGACAGACAGACAGACAGACAGACAGACAGACAGACAGACAGACGGGTGCAGCATCTAAGCTCTCTTGCTCGTCTCTTCTGCAATGCTTCGGGCCCCTCTCGACAAAAGCGTGAACTTCACACTGCCGGAAGCCCCGGCCCCAGCAACTGCGGGTTGCGTTCCCTCGATCCCTGCCTCGTTCCTCAGCTCTCGGAGAAAGCCGGGGAGTGCTCCGACGACGCTAATCACAGCGGCCCCCTACACCCTTCAATGCAACAGCTCCGGCCCGTCACTTTCCGATAATCAGTCCACGCTGAAGGATTCTCTCGCTCCCGGTTCTGTGGCCACGTCTCTTTCCCTTGACTCCGCGCCTTTCGAGCTTGTCCGGCACTTTGTTTGGTGTCGGCGGGAAACTCTCCGTGCCAACTCTCCCCGTTTCTCTCCTTACTTGCGCCTTCGCAAGGCCTCTTTCTTTTCCTTGTTGGGATCAAGACTCAGTTGAGGCGTCGACTTTGTACTGGACCCCGGAGTGGCGCAGCCGCTCTGCGGGAACCCCCTTCTTGCAATTGAGGTCGTACGCGACGATGGCCCCGTCCTGGTATAGGCGAAGGCTGTCAAAGTGCACGTCTTTCGCATTGCGACGCCCATCGCTCCTTGGCCTGGTGGCCTTCCACCTCACCAGGAAGCAGACTGCAGATCCACATTGATTCCAACGCAGTTCGGTAGATCCATGCTTTTGGCAGGGCCTCGATTCAACTTAGCCCATGCAGCAGAGGTGCGACCGCGTCGATCCATCGTTCCTTCGTCTCGCTGAAATACTGCACCTGGAGACTGCAGCAGCCAAGCTCGCATCTGGAAGAAAAATCCTAGCAGCCCTAGCATCGTCTGTACAGGGATGGCCTCCTCCCCATTTTGGAAGCGATCCGCGGAGGCCTGGCAAAGGCATGGGCTGTCTGTCGCATGCTCGTGCAACCAATCTTCTGGCACCCTGCTAACATTCGACAATGCTCAAAATGTATCAACGTATACTGAAGCATCGCAGCTGCTCGGAGTGTTCGCCTCGCTGCCGTTCACCGCAGGTCCAGGCTCCTGGCCATTCCAGCTGCCAGGCAGCCGGCAGCAAGTCATGCACAGAGACAGATGGTGCACACAGACCAACAGTCTCGGCTGTCACCATTCTCAGGCTTCCGACTGCTGGACCGCGGCAGATCGAATGCAATGAAAACGAACTGGGAAAGGCCAATCCCTGTTTCCCCGCACATGTTGTTGGTTCGAAGCGGAAACTGTGGGCGGAGATGTTGCAATCTTGCATCTTGGCAAGCAACGGATGTATGCGCTAGGCCCTGCTCAGCCTGCTACATACTTGCTTCGGCAGCACGCCCGCATGCTGACTTTGATGCCAGCCGCTTCATGGAATGTCGCCACAAGATTGCTTCAGGGATCTTGCCGAAGAGCTCCACGTCGTTAGATTTATGTAACAAGTAGTGTCGTCATGACATCATGTGCTAGCACTATAACAGTAATAGCCGGTGCCTCAGAAACCGGCGGATCTTCGGCAGGCTTTGCGGATGCCTGGGTGTTTGCATGTGTTTGCTCTGCGTGGAGCAAGGGGCAAGCTTCTGTAGTCCCCAATGCCTCAGAAACGTCAGCATCCTCCGCAGACTGTCGGGACACCTTGGGATAAGTGCCACATAACCCATGCATAGCTCGAAAGCTGATTGGGCAAGGAGATACCGAAATGCGCGGATTTCGGGTTTCGTTGGGTACCTGGACTGCGTGACAGGTAACTGGACAGCTTCGTCAAGCCAAGATGGTCTGCCTAACGAGCTCTTCGCCCCAAAGACAGGACAGGACGAAGACTCGGTCTGGGCGAACGATCCGTGCAACACACGGCTGTCCGCGAAAACCCTACAGCCCTAAGGTGGCCCAATAGGCATGGCCAACCCTCCGAATGGGAGCACCTCATGGACTGAGCCGGGGTCTGAGGAGCATGGAGCGAGCAGGTGCACGCTCCGACATGGTAAACTCTGCAGAAAGACCATCTCTTCCAAAGCGGCAACTACAACTGTAAGTGCCGGACCGCGGGAGCTGGCCTGAGATTTTTGATGTCACATCCCATCATGTGACAGCATCAATACAGCAAGGCAGCGTCCCGGTCCACATGGGGCTCCGACGCGTCCTCGGCGGTGCTGGCATCCTTGACTCTCGCGATCTCTGCCTCGCGCCGCATCGGCTCACCCGAACGCGACCCCCAAAGCGGCTCCCGGCCTGAGCCCTCGCGGTTAGGTCGTAGGACAGCAGCTCGCCGTCGGCGTCCCGGTTCACTCTTTGGACGTGGGCTTCGACCTGCGAACACCAAGGGGATGCCCAAAAGGATGACTCCCACACGCGGCTCCAAGCGTCCGCACCCACTTGCGGTGCGTCCCGCTCCAGTAGCGAACTTTCTCGCCGATGGCAAAGACCCCTCGGATGGGCAAGCCGCTAAGCCGCTAAAGTCCGGTAAAGCGCACGTGAGCATCCGGAAGACTCGCAGACTGCTCGCAGACCAGGTGCGTGGAGGATCTTGAGGGGCCGGTTTCAGCGGAGCGCTCGGGGCCTGCGCCTGGCCAGTCTTGGCAGACGGACTTCACGAAACAAATGTGCCGTCGCGGCCTCCGGGCTTGCCACTGCCGGGACGGAACTCTTGTGCTCCTCCTCACATCGAGATTCGCCGGGCAAGCCTCCTTCCCTCCTTCCGCTCTCTCAGAGGCTGAGGGCCTGCTGTAGCTCGCGGTCCCGCCGCTCCTCCCGCTCCTGCCGGAGCTCCTGCATGCTGCTCCGTGCTCAGCTCTGCGACATATGCGGCATGCGTGACTGAAACTGCACGGCGATCACTGCCTTGTCAAGTCTCTCCTTGCGCCGTCGCCAGGGCGGCGTGTCCGCCTGAGCATTGCCGCACGTTGACTCTTCTTGCCAAGCTTTGCACCAGCCTCGTGAGAGGCATCGGCCTAGCGACGAACGCCGAAGCGTGGAGCTGCTGCTTCAAGCTCGCAGAACGCCCCCGCCTCGGCCCCTGCGGAGCGCCAGGGAGGAGCCTGGCCGCGCTGGCGTGGCGCGGGCCTGAAAACATCCTCGTGTCAGAGATAGGACAACAGACTCGCCGCACTGTCGCACTGCAACAGGGCAGTCCTCGCCCATGCTAAGCTTCCGCCATGGGCCGCGAGCACACAACAAAATCTCTGCAAATGGGCGTCTGGTTGTCGGGTGTAGGCTGGGAAGCCGCAGACTGTACATCCCACGTTCCTCCATGGATCCCCTGCCTTGCGGGCGGCTACGCTGGTGCGAGGACGGGTCAGATCAGAAGCTCCATGGGTCCATGGCTGATGGAGTCCAATCGCTCAAAACTTCAAAATCCTCGATGTCCTCATGCTGAGCGGCGCAAGCGGCATAAGCAGTTGAGATGCAGAACGCAGCGGCCGACTCTCGCATCATGGGGACGTTGTTTGGTTGCCCGACACGCTTTGGCAGGCTTTCGAAGAAACTGCAAGAGCCCAGAGCAAGCATTGAAACAAGCAGAGATGTGGTGATGCGGTGTGATGCGGGTCCGTTCTTTCCAGATGAACCATCACAGACATCTGATCTCCTGGCTCCTGTTTGCTATGACTTCCCCTTCCATCCCTTCCATTCTGGTGCCTGATCGACTGCTCAGCAGTGACAGGCTGCTTGGTTCTTCCAGCAGCTGAACTTGGCACCAGTGCGCAGTGCCTGTCCGCTGCAAACACTACTTGCAACGAATTGCAAAGACTGCTTAAGCAGCCGTGTGAATGTACATTGCTGCTCTATTCAGGGAAGGATCACAAGCACTAAGCTAGAAGATGCGCGGAATGTTCCGACGATCGGTCAGTTACCGGGGCGTCCGAGGTGTTTGCACGACTCCTTCAGGCGGTGCGATTCATCAACTGCTGCAGAAAGTTCTGCAAAGGTTCTCAACAAGCATTGCGCAGTGCCTGGCCGTGGTGTCAGCACACTATTGCCGGTTTGTCCTTGGAGCCATGGACTACATTTGCGAAGGCTGCGAGCTGCTGGTAACAGTTCAAAGAACAGCTCTGAGGCACCAGCTGCAAGACCACCCACGTTCGGCAGCGCGTTCTGCGGCGTGGTACTTGGCCTTCACATCCTGCAGCATTCATCGGAAGCACGACAGCGCTGGTCGCTGCCTGGCGTGCCTCGGCAAGGTAGGTCGTCTTCTTGCAAGCATCTTTGACGCTTGTCACGAAGGCGCGCATTTGCCTGGTCACGGGCAGGCATCGCAGCTGTGATTCGTGATGCCTTAGATTTAGACTGCTTATGAGGCACTGCGACGAGACCATGGCCGAGGCCTTTTTGCTTCATCCATCTGCTCCCGGAGCTCGTCCCGCCTCGCCTGCTTCTCCTCAATCAAGGCTGAAGCAGTAGGGCGTCTCGTCTGGTTCCATTTAAAACGGCCTTGAGGTCTTGCATGAACTTCTCGTACTTCAAAGTGCATGCCTGCAGATACTTTGCGGATACTGTTTTCAGTCCGAACATCTGCTGTATGTTCGGCTTAACTTGTGATCAATCTTACAAAGATTCACAATCTGGTCCAGACCTTCAACTCCTTCTCTTTGTCGTCAAGCTCTTTCTGAGCTCGGACCAGCATTTCCATTGCTTCCTGCATGTCTCACGCAAGACGAGCAAACTGAATGGCTATGCCATAGCGGCTATGCCCCAACGCAAAACCAATACTGAAAGTAAGCTTGTTGCAGCTACGAGTCATTGATGGTTTGCTAATGGTTGCTGCTGTTGTTGCTGGAGATATTGCTGGCACGACCACGACGACTGCTGCCGCCGATGCTATGACACCTTCAACAGCAAGTGCTAGCAATACTCGTGGTTCGTCAACCTTCTGCGCTTGCTACGGGAACTGTTGCTGCAGCTGGCACTACCACCAATGACGACGACCACCACCACCACCACCACGGCCACGAACAACAAACATCAAACAACGAACAGCCAGCAACAAAGCAAAAACATCAACGACAAGCTCAGCAACAACAGCCAACCGACCAACCAACCAAGCAAGCAACAAGCGACCAACCAACCAAGCAACCAACCAACAGTCAACAACAGACAGCCAATTGCCAACAGCCAACAACCAACTATCAACAACCAACAAATACAACAGTCCACATCAACCCACAAAAGAACACTATTACAACAACAATTGCATCATCGTGGCCGCTATGCACGAACCACGAGTTGCGGGTCTTACGCGAAGGCCGTCTCCAGAGTGCCCGTCCCACAACAAGTAGCGATGAGCCGTCAAGCGAACCTGCGGGACACGCGGCGGCAGGGCTCAGGCTTTTGCAGTGCGCAAGTGACACCCAGCATTTAATTGAGGTGGATTAGCACACTGCGTGTCTTTTGGCCAGAAGACTCGGAGCAGCGTGCCGAAGCATTCCATGTGTTGGGCCATGTTTTCATTGGTCACCGCCCTGACCTTCGAGAACGCAGACTCAGCATGGCTGATCTTGCGGCCGGTCGACCATTGGTTGTTGCTTGAGTGATGACCCTAGAGGGGTTGTGCGCCTTGGAGGTATTGGCCTCGTGGAAGGTTTCTGGAGACGCCCAAGTAGCTCAAGACTCATTTGACGGTTATAAGACCCTAAACCCGTAAAACCGCGAACCAAAGCCATCAATGTCATACATGCTCAAAGGCTGCCGAGGTACCCAAGACATGATTACCACACATCTGTGTATAAAGCATTGCAATCTGCCCAACAATTGCCACGAATTGGTCTGAACCCGAATCGTCGTAGTGGCTTGGCTCGTCGCGTGTCAGCCCTCGCATTGAACAGATACGTTTCCACGGAAGCCCGTCGACACCTCCAGCGCCAAGCAGGGGAACGAACGCACGGCTTCTTTGTTTCATTCATTAGAATTGGACCCTTTTGCCCGCCTACTTCGCAAGATTTGACCCTTAGTCGTGGGTTTTTGTCTATTTTGCTCCTTGAAGACCCTCACCTCACGTTTTTCAATTCGTTTGTAAATGGAAACGAGCGCAACACAAGCTACATACAAATGAAACACAACGGACACAAAAATTGACGGATGCACGCTTTTCGTGTCCGGACAGAAAGGGCCAAAGGCCATCGAATCGCTCATGCCTGGGGGCACAGGTAGCTCAAGACTTCTTTGACAGCTAGTTGTCCAAAGCCACCAATGTCATACATGCTTAAGGGCTTCGCTGAGGCTGCACTGAGGTTGAACATCAGGAACTTGTCTTGACTAAATCGTAGCCCTTTGTCGCGACCATCACGGCCAAACAACTTCAAAACATGATTACCACACACCTATGTATCAAGCATTGCAAACTTGACAACTGCCAAAGCTTGCTCGGAGCTCCAGTCCGATCGTGTCAAACCACGCATTGCGCAGATATGGTTCCACGCAAGCCCATCGACGCTTCCAGCGCCAAGCCAGGTGTGTAGCATCAGTTGCCACATTTTGTCTTGGTCCAAAACATCACAACCAGCGTCCAAAAACTTCTTGCGTCGCAGACCAGCTAGTGTAAAGCTGCTCAGGAAAGCCAAGATCACAGGACATAAGACTGCTGAGAATAGAGTCTTAGTTTCCGCTCCTCGTGCCTCGAGGCAGGCTGTGCACAAAGTGCGTGCGTAAATCTGTGGCCAAGTCATCGATGCCCATGACTGAAAAAAACGGCAGAAAGAGGGGCAACACCAAAGCAGAGTCCCGTATAATTGTTCAGGCTCCTCTACTTACTTCGCGTTTAACAGTTTAACAGGTGTTGCAATCTATGAGCCTTGTGGACTCAGGCCGGAAGGCCTGATGCGGTCCGACCCCAGGTCAACAGAAAGAGCTCTTGGGCGATTTTCGAAGCCCCCTTTAAGAAGCCGCGGCTGCAATCTTAATTCGGACGTTGTGAGGTCACATACAGGCGGTGCTTCTGACCTAACCCGGCTTCGTTGTCAAGTAAGAAAACCAGGCAGGGCATATTCATCGCTTCTTATGGCCCGCAGTCCCCCCAGAAGGACCGAGAGCTGACTGTGGCCCCACCAAACCAGGGCATTGAAAGATCCTGATTCTCGTGTTGGGACGGATCGCAGCACTGAGTCAGCCAAGGTGCTTAAGAACTTCACGCAATCTGCTTTGCTCTGCTGTGTGCTCTTCTGCGAAGACTAAGCCACTAAGCGTGCTGATAAACCACAACGGTGCATATGCATGCCCCAAACCCGAGCAAGAACACCTCGATCAGGCGACCTCTCACCTGCTCCTTCCATCTTAGTTTCCTGTCTATGGTGTCCACCAGTTGTTCGGCTTTAGAACAACCCAAATGCTACTCTTTTCGCCCCGCGGGCAGGTGAAAACCTTACCGCTCCATCCAATCGTTGGCAGGAGTCGTCCGGAAGCCCGGAAATTGGAACCCGGCAATTCACGGAGGCGTGTGGCTCCGGTGTAAACCTCGAAATGGCACAAGCAAAAACGATCGCATCCGATATCCCTTACACTTCGCAAAGGGCTCGCCACCAGCCTTTAAGCCAACAACAACAGCGACGGCAACAGCTGATGCAACAGCAACAGAACAGCAGAGCCGACAACGATGACAACAAACAAACAACACACAGCACACAACAAACAGCAAACAGAAAGCATTATGACATGGATCATAAAGTCATAAAGCAACCTCAGCAGCAACGACAACAACAGCAACAGAGGCAACAGCAACAGCAACAACCACAACCACAACCAACCCTCGCCACAACCGCAAGAAAGCCACAACAACCACAACCACAGCCATAACCACAGCCATAACAACAACCACAACCTCCTCAGGTTTACCTTTACCACTACGACGACCGCTACCGCGTCTGCTGCTGTTGGTGCTGCTTGCACACCACGATCTGTGCTGACTTCGAGCATGTCGTTGCTGCAGCGACAAACAGCCGTTGCTTCCACCTAGGGGCGGCGTGCAGCCACCACCACGAAGGCTTGCCACGAGTGTTGTGGCTGTGGTGACTTGGGTACAATCATGGCTCCAGCTCCTCATGGGTCTTGGCACGCTTCTCGCGCTCAGCTGTGAGCTCCCCGAACTTGCGAACCTGGGCATGGGAAAGTGTAGACCTGGCCCCAAATGCTTGGTGAACCGCATGGATGCCTGCCGCATCACAATAAAAGCGCCCGGCGATGTTTTCCAGGTTTTTGGAGGCCTGGTACCCGGCCCTGGCCTCCGCACATGCGCTTAGAGGTGCCCTCTATTTTGCCCCCTCTTTACCTCGAGAGGCCCTTCCTTTCAAAGCACTGGTACACGCTCAGTCTTTTGACTCTTAAAGCACCACAACATGAACAAGTCCTTCTCAACGAAGACTCGTGCAAAACCAATGCAACGGCTGCGCCTTGGCAGTGGCACTTGCCTTGGCCAGTGAGTCCACAGGTCCACTACTGATGCTGTAACGTCGTCGCCCCCTCAGAGTCCGGACGCTTGCATCGGCCATGACCGCCAGCCATGTACTTCGCTGATTAGATTCGGTCGCGAAGCCAAAGCTGACTGAATTCAACCGTCTAGACCAGACTAAGTCTGGGTGCTTCTGTTCGATCTGTGGCTGCGGCCCACTGCTTCATGGAACCTTCTTCCTCTACCGCTCTAGTCTGGCCTCCCTGCCATGCCAGCCTCTCCGACAGCTGCAATTGCCATTCGCAGATGGACAGGACATGAGCTGCACGGAGAGGCTGGAGGGGATGAGCACCGATCGTGTGTTTTGCACTCGGAAAGCTCTGCTGCTTTGCAGCTGGCGGAGCAGCTCCACTTCTGTTACGGGCTGTAGAGCTGCCGAGGACATTGCCTCTCTCATGCTGAAACCTCCATCTGCATTGTAGCAAGTGAAGAACCGCCTCGGCGCTTCGTCGCCGAACTACACGATGCAACTCCTCCTGAGTCTCTCACCCACCCGTCTCCAGCAAGAGCCCATCGGAGCCGCGAAAGGCTTGCTGCAGGGCCTTGGAGCTCTGCACAAGCTTCTGCACTTCCGACGGCTCGAGAAGCCGAGGTTCCGTCCACTCCATCTCTGACAACCACCTCTTCGCAGTGAAAGCCTTCAGCAGCCAGCTCCTGCAACAACATACAATGCGTTCTGAGGATCAGAGCAGGATGCTGGAGCCTGGCAGACATCGTTCACACTCTGAAGCCTCAGTGAATGCGAATGCCCAGAGCCGATCATTCTCAGCTCGAAGGCAGTGACCACACCTGTGCATCCTAAGCTTCAGGCGAACCGGCCTCGCTCAGATCCTGACTTGCGGCACTGGCATGGCACAGCGTCGCACGGCGTCGCAGCGCAGTTCAGCTGGGGCTTCGGCCATCCCAACTGCAGCACACTCGGCCTGCTTGCAAGAATAGCGGACAGCGTAGCTGCATAGCTCGAGGCTAAAGGCGGCTAAGCAGGGGCTGCCTTCAGGGTGGTATAACCTCAAACCGTGTTGGACAGGTTCTGCGTGGTGAGCTCGCTGATGATCTGCACCCCCTAGCCGTGCATGATGCAAAGTGCAGCCCAATGGCTGGAAGTCCTGGAAATACATGCTGGTGCCTGCAAAGAAACGGCGGTCGTGAGGGGCTCACTCATGGTACCGGCCGTGGCATTGGTCTGCACCAAGTTTGCAATGGCCTTCCATCGGATCAGCCACAACCGACAGTGCGCGCCAACTTGTTGACTGCTGCCTGCGGATCCCACTCAGCCATCGTCGCAAGTGCACTGGATGCTGTGGATCTGGTCAGCAGGACCAAAGCGCAGCTCAGTGAGTCTTCTCATTGTAGGTAAGCAACTCGGAGAAGGCTCCATTGTGATGACTCACCTGCAAACCGCAGACAGGTGCCAAGAACAGTCCGCCTTGAAAGATCTGTCTGTCGCAATGCTGATGCCTTGGCAAATCCCCACGCGCTGTTCGACGTTCCCTGGACGTTGAACCTAGGCGTCAGAAGCGAAAGGATCCGAAAAGATTCACGGAACCACGCTCTGGTGAAAGTTTGTCCGGCCTCGAGATTGCCGTCACGGCTTCGGTACCTCCGACGCATCGCGGAATGGGCCCACCATGCCCATGCATTGCTTCTGCATGGGGGAATCGTCTCAAGGCTCTTGCCGATGGCATCCAGGAGGAGCAGATCGCGCACTCGCAGAGTGGCCTCGAAATTCGATTGCTTCTTTCACCCTGTATTTGTTCAAGCGCGTCCATCACAAAAGGCCCGTGCAAAGGACCACGCAATGTTCCCCAGCTCCTGGTGCCCACAGGACGAAATCTTGGCCACCTGGTGGAAAGCTTCTTGCGCTCTGAAATGTTCTGACTCTTGTTTGCCAGGTTTCTCTGCTCGACCATGGTCTGGGGTCGGCGCCGCTGCAGAGGAAGTTGCCGCTGTGAGTGCCTGGCCCTCTGCGAGAGCCTTCGCAGACGTCCAAACCTCAGACGAGAAGCTACAATGAAGCTACATGTGGTGCAGTCTACGATGCAAAAGGCCCCCCACCAAGTTCCCGATGTTCTGCGCCCCGGACTGGGGCATCTGACCTAGAATCTGGAAGAGGCTTCTAGCTTCGCTCTCGAGCACCTCGCCTAATAGGCACGAATCTCGTGATCTTGGTTCTCAACGTTGGCCAGCAGCAGAAGCAGCACTCAGCAGACCTCTGCGTCGCCCGGTGCCAACCCACGTGCAGACAGGACAATCTCAGGTCCCAGCGCTCGCTCAGAAACTGCAGCTTGGCAAGGCCCTACGCTATGTTCGACAGGTGCTGGGCCTGTCGCAGAGCGCACGAGTTGCAGAAGTGTATTCCCAAAACACACAGAGCTGCGAAGGAGAGGGACAAGTCACAAGCCCTTCCAGTGTGTGAAGCCTACAGTACTGGGTTTTAGCTATCGGGAAATGCGCGCAAATCAGAGATCAGCGCAAGCATGCAACAACTCGATCAACATTGCCATCATCACGATGTCGATCTTGGCCTGGCCCTAGCGGGGCACCTGCAGCTCGGTCACCTTCAACAAAATCTCGGCCTAGCGCACGACTCGCACCCGCACGATTCGGACTTCCAGGTTGCCGGAGTCCCGGGCGGCAGGTGCTTCTGAAACTGGCTCCTCTCTCGCCAGCAATCGAGCCTCCAAGCAGACACAACACGAGGCAAGTGCTGATAAAGAATTGTGCACCGTCTCTGGTCCTACTTGTTGACGGTCCCCCTGCCATGCCCCCGTTTTGTACGTTGCATATGCATAACACGCGCACCCATCCAAGACCTGAGTGTGTGTCTGTGTGTTTCAGTCTGTCTGCGCATCTCATCTGTAAAGCTGTGTCTGTCTGTGCGTGCATGTGTGTCCCTTTCACATGTGTGAAACAAATGGATAGGATGGGATGGGATGAGATGGGACGGGATGGCATGAGATGGCAAGGGATGGGATGGCATGCGATGGCATGGCATGGGATGGAATGGGATGGGAGGATGGAATGGATGTGCCTCGCCGCACTGGCTCTACATGTATGTACGCACAAGTATGTCGGCATGTGCGCATGTACGGGTAACTGTGTGTGTCCAATCCCTTTTGTGAGATCCTGTGTTCGTTGGACTCTTGCTGTCCGGGCACGGAGGCTCAGGACAAGTTCGCCAGGCCCTGCTTGTGGAACGCCTGAGCGCAGAATGAAGTCTTCCTCTCCATCCCTCTGTCCCGAAAGTGCAGGAAGCACCGAAACACCAGGGCCACTTGCAGGAGCACGAGTCATCACAGCAGCTACACCTGTGTAAGGGTGAAGTCAACCCTCGCCAGCAGCAACAGGAATCCGAAGCTCGGTGCTGTGCTCGCATCCACTGGCTGTGGATCGTGGTGCGCGGCCTTAGTGGCACATACATGTACACAACTCGCCGAACTTCTCGACTAGCAGGCGAACCTTTGTAGCAGCCCACATCGTGGTCGAAATCGCCTAGCGAGAAGAAACTGATAAGCCCCGGTTTCGACTCCGCTCCTCGGCTGCCCTCGGCTGCTCTGCCATGCTCTGCTGCTCTGCTCCGCCGGGCTCCGCCTGCTCGTCAAACTCGGCCATCTTGACGGCTGCATTCGAGGTCAGGGCCTGGTCACGCTACGCACAGGGCCGAGCCGCCGAGCCCGGCATCCTCCACACACGCACGCCAACCAGAATAGGATAGAATCGGATAGAACCCCAACTTGAAACATCTTGAGGCCCCGCCTGCAGGAGCGGTCGGCGGAATTGCCGCAAAGCAGTTACCGACTGCGCAGCGTTTGAAGGGCCTCATAATCAGCTGACTCAAAAACCAAGCCTACAGCCTCTTCTGCTAACGACGTCCGAAACTGCCAGGCTCTCTTTTGGGGTTCCGGTCCAGAGTTCTGCGAGCCTCGCGAGTCAAGCTCTGGTAGTCTCTGCCTCAGAGCGGCGCCGATGGCTGTCACGGGGTTTCGCGCACCGGGGTTGAAATGCACACGGATAGTGACATTTTTGAAACCGGACTTGATGACTGCCAGCACTGCCCTCCCGCTGCTCTTCAGCTGAGGCCCGAGAACCGTAACACCGCAACACACGGATAGTGACATGGGGAGGAGACATTAGGATTCCTCGATGCGGTGTCCGAAAACATCTGCACAAGATTAGGATGTAAGTTCGTGTAAACAGCTTCGAAAGTGGCTGGCGGTATCCTTTGAGGCTTCGGCATGGCTCGCAAGGATGCCGCCTCCCACAGCGCCGAGGGCTGCCACTTGAGTTTGCCCATGGCACGCGCAGCGCCTGAGAGGACGCTTTTTTCCTTGCCAGAAATCCTCAGCCCCAGAAATTGGAAGCTATGGTCCTGGCTGGAAAGGCTATGTGGCTCAAACTGCTCCATGCTGGCGAGCGCCACTGTCGCGATGGAGCCAAGCAACGGGGGGCCTGAAAGCGCTGCGTGAACTGGAGCGTCCGGAAATATCTGGAAAATCCTGCAGGTCTGCACAGGAGTCCTGCGGTATGCGACTGCGATAAAGCCCACAGCGCGTTCGATGTATGCCGCCTCAGCAGGGAACAACGGACATTGGGAGAGTTCACCACACGGCCTTGAGCTGGAGTTGTCTGGGCTCCTCGCGGCCTTTTCAGGCTGTTTGGGTCATCGAGCGCTCGGCGCACGGATCCGAGCAGCTGCTGAAGCCGTGGGTCTCCGCGGTTCAGGGCGGTGCGAGACTCCCGCGCGAGCCGGTCCAGTGCTGTCACCAAGTTGACGAAGTCCAAGTCAGAATGATCTTCGAGAAACCTGAAGATCTCCTCCCCGCTGAGCTGTGCGATGGTGTTGTTCACTTGTGCCGATCAGCTTGGACCCCTGGACCCCTGCGGAGACCAGCCCTTCGCTGTCCCCTTCCCCTTCCCCTGCGGAGACCAGCCCTTTGCTTTCCCCTTCATGCCCGACGCAGACGGTCCGGGCCCGTGGCTCACAGAGCCCTGGCGTGATCCAGTCTCCACACCATCTGGCCGTGCCACTCCTGGAAGCCGCCCATGAAAACTTGAGCCCAGAATGGCACAACAGTTGTCAACACTGATCTAGAATCTCATGCGCCCAAGCAGACCACACGCTCTTGACAACGAAGCTGTCGGCCTTGCCAGAGCAGTCAATAATTAGTCTAATTTGCTCAGCTGCACTTATGTCACTCCATCTGTCCAGACACGGCGGCGCTGCCAAACCCAAGTCTTTCTACAAGCGCTGCGACACCAGCATGTTCCACATGATGCGAGGAGGAGCCGACGCTACGTTAGCCAGGGACCCCTGTTTCTTTTCAACGCCTCAGCATAGCCCTAAGCGCTCCACTTGCCTTGTGAAGGCAAGATGCGATGTGTCAGCGGCAATCGGAGCTAACGCAAGCTGAGCCCTGCAACTGTTCCAAGAACTGAAACACGCACTTTGCCTGTAGCGGTAGCTGTTGCACGGTGACCGGTGTTACGAATTGAAGCCGAGCGGACTCGGGATATTAAACGAAAATAACTACGTAATTGCGCCTTACTTTCGTTTCAATTTCTTGGGGTGCTTGCCGGAACATCAACCAAGTCCAAGTCCAAGCATCACTTCCCACTTGCAAAACACCTTTCAGTCCTCGATCGCTCAATATTCAACAGTCAACACTGCCCCACATCCAACCACTACTCACCTTACATTCCAAGTCTTCAGGCAATGGACAAAAGCACGGCACCGCATTCCAGCCGAAAACAACCAAGTCCAAGTCCAACAATGTGCTGCTTAATAGCACGATAACAGTACGATTTGCCGAACATCTGTCTTTCCTCACTCGCCATTCAACATTCAATAATCCACACGTCCAACCACTGCTCACGTTACATTCCAGTCTTAAGTCAATGGACACAAGCGCGGCGCCAATCACATTCCAGCCGAAAAACAACCCAGTCCAAGTCCAAGCATGCGCCGTTTAACACCAAAACTACCGCATCACCTGCCAAACAACTATCAGTCCTCACTCACTCGCAGCTCAACATTCAATACTCCCCACATTCAACCACGGCTCACCTTACGTTCCAGCTTTAAGACAATTGGCAAAAGCACGGCACCAGTTTCATTCCAGCCGAAACAATAAGTCCAAGTCCAAGCATGGGCTGTTTAAGGGCACAACTACAATACCACCTGCGAAACACTTTCACATCGCGATCACTCAATATTCAACAGTCAACACTATTCAACAGTCAACACTGCCCCACATCCAACCAGTGCTCACCTTACATTCCAGCAACGGCCGAAAAACAACCAAGTCCAAGTCCACGTATGTGCTTTTCAAAGGCACGACAACGGTATCACCTGCCAAACATCTGGCTTTCCTCACTCGCATTCAACATTCAATAATCCACACGTCCAACCACTGCTCACCTTACATTCCAGTCTATAAGTCAATGGACAAAAGCGCGGCGCCAGTGATATTCCAGCCAAACAGCAACCAAGTCCAAGTCCGGCGCCGTTTCACAGCACAGCTACAGCATCACCTGCCAAACAGCTATCATTCCTGACTCGCAATGCCACATTCAATAAACCCCACATCCAACCACCGCTCACCTTACGTTCTTCCTCGATCAGTCGACATCCAACATTCAATACTCTTCACATCCAACTACTGTTCACCTTACATTCCAGTCTATAAGTCAATGGACAAAAGCACTGCACCAGTCACATTCCAGCCGAAAAACAACCAAGTCCAACTCCAACCATGCGCCGTTTAACAGCACCACCACAGTATCACCTGCAGAACACCTTTCATTCCCCATATTCAATCAACACTGCCCCACATCTAGCTACCAGTCCAGTCTTAAGTCAATGGACAACAACCAAGTCCCAGTCGTCCAAGCATGAGCCGGTTAACAGAAACATCTATCATTCCTCACGCGCCATTCGACAGTTGATGACCCCCGCATCCAAACCCTGCTCACCTTACATTCCAGTCTTAAGTCAATGGACACAAGCGCGGCGCTAATCACATTCCAGCCGAAAAGCAACCCAGTCCAAGTCCAAGCATGCGCCGTTTAACACCAAAACTACCGCATCACCTGCCAAACAACTATCAGTCCTCACTCACTCGCAGCTCAACATTCAATACTCCCCACATTCAACCACGGCTCACCTTACGTTCCAGCTTTAAGACAATTGGCAAAAGCACGGCACCAGTTTCATTCCAGCCGAAACAATAAGTCCAAGTCCAAGCATGGGCTGTTTAAGGGCACAACTACAATACCACCTGCGAAACACTTTCACATCGCGATCACTCAATATTCAACAGTCAACACTATTCAACAGTCAACACTGCCCCACATCCAACCAGTGCTCACATGTGCTCACCTTACATTCCAGCAACGGACAAAAGCACTGCGCCAGTCGCATTCCAGCCGAAAACAACCAAGTCCAAGTCCAACACTGTGCCGTTTAACAGCACGACAACAGTATCGCAGTTCAACATTCTTAAGTCAAACGAAAACTTTGAAGCACCGCACGGTTCGCATTCCAGCCACAAGCAACCAAGTCCAGGTCCAAGCATGTGCCGTTTAACAACACACCTGCGGTATCATTTGCAAAAAACCTATCACGCAGCTCAACATTCAATACTCCCCACACCCAACCACTGCCCACCTTACATTTCAGTCTATAAGCCAATGGACAAAAGCGCGGCGCCAGTGATACTCCAGCCAAACAGCAACCAAGTCCAAGTCCAAGCATGCGCCGCTCAACAGAAAAACTACAGCATCACCTGCCAAACGACTCTTCTTCCTCACTCACTCACAGCTCAACGTTCAATACTCCCCACTTTCAACCACGGCTCACCTTGCGCTTCAGCCTTAGAACAATCGGCAAAAGCACGGCACCAGTCACATTCCAGCCGAAAAACAACCGAGTCCAAGTCCAAGCATGCGCCGTTTAACAGCAACAGCCGCCAAACAACTATAATTCCTGACTCGCAGTTCAGCATTCAATAATCCCCACATCTGACCACTCTTCACCTTACATTCCAGTCTTAAGTCAATCGGCGAAAGCACGGCACCAGCACATTCCAGCCGCAAAACAACCAAGTCCAAGTCCAGGCATGCTCCGTTCAACCATCCCAGAAGCAGAATCGTAAGATAACCACTGCTCCAGAGAAGCAATCAGCGTCAACACAACCTACTCCATTAGGGGGTCCTCGGAACATCTGGCAAACCCGAGAAATACATAGGCACAAACTACGGCACCCCATGCGTACATTTGTCAGCTAATACCCGTCAGCGTTTTGGGGCTTGGCACCATCGGAGAATACAAGCACGCAGTCAAGCTCGTGATGCAAGCATCTTGTCATGCGCAAGCTGTGGAACCCAAGCGCTGGCTGAACCACAGTGCCACTGCAGCCAATTTTTGAAAGCCCTCCGCAAGATGACGCAGGTGATCCGTCTGCTTTTCCATGCTGACCTCAGTTATATTGCATGTGAACGCCTTTATACGTGCAAGTGTCACCGTCTGAGCAGCGAGCACAAGCTCAAGTGTACCTGTCCACACATATGCATGGGCACCTGCAACTCAACCCGTGCCATATGCATGACAAAAAACGAACGCATGGATCGACACGCCCTAAACACAAAAACACATACAAACAGATCCATCCGCGAGTTCATAACTGCAAAAGCGAAAGCATACTACTCCAATGAAGCTGCAACCCGGGCAGGATAGTGATTTACGATAAAATATGGCAACTACAGCCACGGTGAGGAGAGGAACTACGGAGGTCAGACGGGCACTGACGGACATTGACAGGCATTGACGGGCTTTTGCAACAGGAAAGACAGGCGGCCCTTCCATGTTAGGGGCACGGGCTGCTGCCAAGGAGGACCACCATACAAGATACATAGTCTTGCGACCCGCATCGTATCGCCTGAAACAACGATGCGCTGGCCAGAATGCTGGAAGTGCATTTCAAGCTCCAACTCTTCCCTCTTTCCGGCCTCGTGACATACAGCAACTGCAGCCTGCGGCAGTTCTTAAAGGGCTGTGCAGCAACCAAATGGCAATTGACCAGGCAAACTCAATACGCACATGCTCCAGCGACATCTCCACGCCTGCACGGGGTCTGCTGGCCCCGGGACTTGCAAGTTCTGCGCTGCAAGCCTTACGACGGCCTCGTTTGGAAAGTTGCCTGCAGAGTGAACTCTCTCCGTCAACACCCCACCATCAGAGCAAACTTGCCACATGTGAGCTGTAAGCCTTCGGAGACCCCGTCGCAGACCAACAGTAAAAAATCCGTCGGTGCGGCGCAATCGAATGCCTGGCGGGCGCACAGCATCTGCGTGCGGTAACTTGTCAGTTTTGGGCGTGCCGCTAGACATCTAGCCTTCAAATCCGGCACGCAGGTGACTGGATGATCTTTTGGACTGGGACCTGCTAGCATGCTCAAGTACAACAGCACAACCCGACACCTTTGCAGAAGGCCACCAAGCAAAAGATGCAAGCCTCCAGTTTTCTTATGCACCGCGTCGCCAAAGGATCGGGACACTGACAAGGTCCCATTGACCCTAGCCACTCCCATGACCTCAGCTTCAGCGAAGGACTCGTCTGGGTCGCGCCATGGGTTGCATCTGCCAATCCCCTGGATGCGACAGGAGAAATTTAAGCTGCAGACTTCCTGCACGCTCCCACCAGTCCGTACAATCCACGCTCGCTCGCTTGGCAGCTCGGGCTTGTGGTCCTGCACAATCCCAAAAATCAGGAAACAGGCACACCAAAATAACTCACTTCGAACATCCCCACCCTTCAGATGGCACGAGTTTAGGCATTCTATTGTAAATCGATGTAGTAATAGGATTAGCGGCAATAGAATTTAGCAAGCAACAAGGAGCAAGAGTCAGCAGGAAGCAGCACGTAGAAAGTAGCCAGCAGCAAGTAGCAAGTAGTATGTGGCACGCAGCAAGTAGCAAGTAGAAGGAGCATATAAGTCGTAAGTCGTGAGTAGTAAGTGGTAAGTAGCAAGTAGCAAGCAGTAAGTAGTAAGTAGAAATTCGTAATTGTTAATTAGTAAGTAGTAAGTAGTAAACAGTAACTAGCATTAAGTTTGTGGTTTGTAGTTGGTACTGTTATTGTTATTGTCATTGTTATTCATATTGTTATTGTGTTATTGTGTTTGTTTTTTTGTTACTGGTATTGTTATGGTTATTGTTGTTGCTACTGCTATAGGCTATTGCTATTGTTATTGTTATCCTTATCCTCATCCTTATCCTTACCCTTATCGTTATCGTTATTGTCGTTGTTATTGTTACTGTTATAGTTGTTATTATTCTGATCATTATTGTCATGGTTATTATCACTAGCAGCAGCAGGAGTAGTAGTAGTAGTAGTAGTAGTAGCAGCAGTAGCAGCAGCAGTTGCAACAATAGTAGTAGTAGATTAGTAGTAGCAGTAGTAGCAGTAGTAGCAGCAGCAGCAGCAGTAGTAGTAGTAGTAGTAGCACCAATATTCTTACTATTATTATCGATACTCATTATTTAGCATTCATCATTTGGTAAGATTGTCAAGCTCCAGGGATACCAGGCGTGCTTTATGATTGGGCAACGCAAGACATGAGGTTGGGCCCTCCAGGGATATGCTGGATTGGACACCAACAATACTCTGAGGTTGTGCATTCCAGGGATTCTCTGGGGTTGGGCACTCCAGGGATACTCTGGGCTTTGGCACTCCAGGCATACTCGGCGTTGGGCACTCCAGGATACATGGGGTTGGGCACTCCGGGGATACTCCGGCGTTGGCACCCTAGGGATACTCTGCGGTTGGGCACTCCGGGCTGGGGTTGGGCAATGTTGGGCACTCCAGGGATAGTCTGGGGCTGGGCACTCTAGGGATACTCTGGGATTGGGCACTTGGGTATCGGGAGATGGGCGTGGAGTAGACCAGCCGAAGCATGTAGCTTAGTTTAAAATCTAACAACCCTTACGGAGGGTGGGGAAGAACACGACAAAGTGGAGGCATGTGAAGCTTCACTCGGTCCGTGGTGAGCGCACGGTCTGTGCCAGGCCCGGGGTACATTGAGCCGTCTGCCCTCCCCAGAAGAACACGACTGTCACCAACGTTCCCAACCCGGAGGCGATAGTTGCCTGAGCACAACACCCTGCAGATGGGGCCAAATCTTATTCTGGCATGCCTCAATGCCAACCAGCGATTCAGGATGATTCAGGAATGATTCAGGACAAGCGCTTAGTGCAGCCGGCTTGCCCTCAGCTGTTGCCGGGGCTTCAGCAACGACAAAGGTTGCAGTGGATCCACCAGGTTGGGCGGAATCAAAGCACTGCCTCCGGTACGAGAGATTCCACTCCTCGCACTGGGGGCAGAGCCACCCGGCTACCCGGATCGCAGCCGCCAGGGCGTTCGTGGTGGCCCGGCGCTGCTGGATCCGCGCGAGCTTTCGCTCTTGCCGCAGAGACTCGCGCTCCAGTCAGGCGCCGCGAACACGGGCGTCTTCGAGGAGCTGGTGGTCCTCGACAGCCGCGACCGCGTCGTTGAACACGTCCGGGTGCACCGACGCTTGCCACGCGTCCGGTGCCGACCACGGGATGATGTTATCATCCGGAAGGTAGTCCCCCATGACAGCAGCGTCGGTAGCTGGCATGCCGCTTATATCCATCTCTTCCTTGATGCGCTTGGCTATGAAACGAGAGCATCCGTCGCCTCCATGACCATCAAAAACTCCAAAAAAGCCCCAGTTATCTTTGGCGTGGATGACATGGGAATCTTCCATAGTGGGCCGCCATCCGCGCATCTCCGCGCAGCCGATGCGAAAAGCAGCGCTGTTTTCTCGCCTCGTCTCAAGTTTGCCATCCCCCGAACGTCCCAAACACGGGCACTAGCGAACGCTGCAACCAAGAACAGGGCTGGGCCACCACGGATGTGTCGGGCAACGGCGGCGTAACCTGCAAGAGACATTTGGAGTATGCTGTAGGACCCCCTTTGTAAATTTGCCTAGCCTACCGATGGGCTGAAATCACGAAGGCCTGCACCCTGCAAGGCATGTAGCGTGCCTGTAGCGTGCCTCTGGGATGCTGCGCATAAATGAAAAACGTCGAATTGACCCCTGCACAGGCTCCGCCAAGGCCCCACATAACAGAACCCGATTCAAATGATTTAACAACCCAGCGAATTCTCTGTACCGCAATCCAAAATCCAATCGAAAGCTGTTCTGGATTGGACAATATAATAGTAATATAATATATTTGCTTGAGAGATTTGCAGCCTGCTACTGGTGGGCCTTCTGAAATCATTTCATGCTAATCTGCTTTGAGTACGAACAGGTGATACGACACAGCAGTCTTCCTGCTGGGCATTTTTAATTTTCCCATGGTTTTGGTTCTGGCTGCGTGTGGACACGTTGACCTCTTCTGATTTTGGTAATGCTCTGCCACATTTCTTAGGACCGAGTTTCGAGGGTGTCACAGCCTCGCCTGGGCTTTTGCCAAAATCACAGACATCACAACACAGACCATAACACAAACAAAAACAATGTAATTAAACTACACATTCCGATACGGTTTTGGATACCATGTAATTTGGAGGGCTTGTCACACTCGTATTCAGAACAAACGCGTCAGATTCTGCATCTTGTGTTGTCAGCGTGTTTAAGATGCGCATTTCAATACAGCTCTGGATGCATTCGTGGATACGATTCTGGGTGCGAGCTCGTGCTCTCTCGCCCCCTGACCCTGCCTAGCACACCCAATCCCTCTAATCATAACCCAAAAGCAACAACCAGCACCACATCCACGCCATGTCCAAATCAACGCAAAATACATTGAAGCCCGTAGGAAAAACAGAGATCCCCATGTCACACGCTCTGAAATCCATGGCAAACCCGCAGAAACCGAGCCCTAGCAAGGACTTAGATTCACAAGAGTAAAGGCATACTTTAGCCCCGTTCATGCTGCTGGTTAAACTCAGCCAAGTGGGAGCCTGCCAGGCTCTGCGCGGCACAAAGCGCGAAGATTGCGAAGCCTCAGGGCACACTACGGGCGCCCGCTGCTAGGCGACACAAAGCACCAACTCCAAGGAGAAAAGGCATGGGACTCATCCGAATCGTGAAAGATATTAGCAGAGTCAGGAGTGCAGGGTCCAGTGGGCGTACCACACTGGAGTCTGCGACCTGAGACCGCTGCAGCGTCATGGATCCATGCGCCTCCACAAGCATGAGAACTCCGCCCGACCCCCGCCCCGCCACCGCCCCCGCCCCGCCCCGGCCCCGCCCTGCCCCATACTTGCAGAATCCGATCGGACGAATCTTAAACATTGTTGAATTTTCGCATCGTGTTTGAAGGCTTGAAGGCTCTGGGGACTTGGGGTTTTCTGACGTAGTGTCTGACCCTCGAATACCCTACCTAGCAAAGGACATCTATACGGAGACTGGGGCCCGCATCCTTGGGGGGTGGGGGCTTACCTTTCTTTCTATTCTGAAGTGAATGTTGTCAACATTAGACTTAGATGGAAAGCACATGACGTTCGATGCATAAGGTTCTCCTCTTCTGTTTTTTCAGCTTGAGCTGTCCCGGCCGGCACTGGTGGCCAGAACATGACATCATGTCCGCGTTTGGCGAACCCAAATTACTCTATGATGCACAATGCACTTGCATTTCTCATTAACGTAACCAAACATCCAGCTACTCGTGGCTGGATTCCAGCGTTGCCTTTCTGACCTTTTTCCTAAAGGAAAGCTCTTGAATGTACCGATTGGCTGGCAAAACGCCCCTAGCGGTCTCCTGCACGCCAATGTCATTCAAGAACTTCTTGGCTGCAAACTGCTCGGCTTGCTTGCCAGCCTTGCTAATCTCGCCCTCGAACTCCTTGCCGCTCCACGAGTACGGAATCCCAGCATCGTTGCTTCCGCTGCACACCAGCACGGATCGGAAGCCGCCTTCTGCGTGTTTGGTCTCGTAGCGACTTGTGTCCTCGCCGTTGACATGCCTAGATCACACGATGCCGGAAGCAAGTTGAATCCACGATCACAGCACAAGGCCTAAGACCTAGACACGAGACTGTGCAACTGCAAACAACTCAGCAGGCAACTGCAAAAAGTGCGTCACCAGCCGCTTATGGCTGCATGCCGAGTTTTCCAGGTTAATACCAGCAGCTGTCGCCTTCTCTTGCAGGGGTCTTGCCAGCTTTGCACCCCTCAGCTCGGCCATGGTGCGCCGACTGCAACCTATCGTGTAAAGCAATTGAGCCCAGGATCCACCTGCATGAACCCGAAAACGCTTGAACTCCAGAGCTAGGAGATAGCTTAACTTCAGCATACTGAAGAAACCAAACAGGCGTCTTGAGTAGGAATCACTCACAAGCTCTGTGTATACCTCCATTCCCAGACCGCGAGCGCACTTGAGCCGACATCTTGGGAGTGGACCTCGAGTCTTTCTGTATTTCCGTATACCATCGTATACCCAGACGCTCAAAACAAGGAAGCCCATGGGCTAGTGAATGGAGGATACTGAATTTGCTGGGGTCACATCACTCGTGATTCTACCTAAAGCTGGGTTTAGGGGTCATCTGCTCTGGTACCCCATAGAGCTAATCCTGATCATGACAAGGCATTGGACTAGGCATCCTGCGATGACAGACACTGTCACGCGAACTGTCACCCAACGCTCGCAAATTCTAATCCTCAGGCTCCCCGCTGCCATGAGGTTTTTGGGCAAGACTGAATGCTTAAGCATGGCCCATACTTCAACTGTCCATATGACATCTTAATCCACGTCCTGCTCTCCACGTTTTTAACGTCCGGCTCTACATGAAGGAATGGAAGAACTCTTGGAGCTTTGGAACGAATGGGCACATCACCGACATGGGGTCAAAGGATTGAGGAGGAAGGCACTCAGGCCGTGACCGGGATCAGGCACCTAGGAGGCTGCGAAGGCAGCATCGCGCATGCCTGACAAGTTTCAAGCACTCTGGTTTTTCCTCGGCCGCATACCCTCGGAGGCTACCAGCTACAGCAAGGATGTTTTGGAACAAGCTTTGCATCCACCTGGATGCAGCAAGGATTACAATCTATAATTGCAGTTATCATACAGTAGGAACGTGTTGAATCGAAGCACTGGCTGTGCACGTTTCAGATCGGCGTCTTCCGGCAGCAGAGCAGTGTTGGCCCTGCCATGCCCTGCCTGCAACGCCCCCCTTGATGAGGCCCTTGATGAGGCTGCCTCCAGTTCTCCATTCCCCAAAAGGCGCAAGCGTGCAAAACTATCATCAACAATTTTTGGGCGGGACATCGCTGCACATCTGCTTCTCATCCATGTCCAATAACCCACACACACACACACACACACACACATCAACACTGCACACGCTGCCAGCTGTCTCAGAATAAGGGTCCACTTCTTAATGTGCAATCCACATGTTCAGAGACCCTGCAGCAAAGCAGTAACAGTTGACACTCCCGCTATTCTTTGCCTTGGGCAGGGGACCTCCTGCGGCAAACGGCCTCCACAATTGGAGACGTCATCCGCCAGAGGTCTGAGCAGTGAACAGGCGGCTGAGGGCCCCGCGCAGTTCGGAGAAGACACGGTAAGTCTGTAGCTGACTCCCGACCCGCAGCTTCGGCAGCACTGGCTTCCACAACCACCTCTGCCGGCTCACTCAACTGGGCAATTGGCAGCTCTTAGTGTCGCCCCTTTCGCATCTCAAAAGTCTGTCCTCCTCCTCAGCAATACTCGGCGACCCCTGACGGGAACATCATTAACACAAGCAAACGTCAAGAGTGCAACACGTGCCTGACAGCAAAGATTCAAGGCGTCGGTGAAGAAGGCGAGAAAGGCCGAGATCATTGCTACTTATGCTGGGGTAACGTGATTTGTGCGTGTTTGTGCACGCCTGTTTAAGTACCCCCAGCGTGTGCTCGGACACAAGCCCGAAGCCTAACCGGGCTCATCAAGATCTATGGATTGTGTCGAACAAACCAGTGCAGATGTGAACCGGTCTGAAACGCTGCTGAAACGATGAACAAAGCAAAACCTTCATTATTACTGGCTGTTCCCCAAAAGCAAGTTCAAACAAACGAAACAAATCCGGCAGTGATCTCAAGTCGTGCTCTGCTTCTGGTGGGCAAGCCATGGGAAGACGGACGGCCATCTGACGATACGCTTTCAACTCCATGTCGTGTCGTATCACGCAACTGCAGATGCGCGCAGATGCATGCAAACGCACGCAGATGCATCTCTACACCTCACACTGTCAACTCATTTTGCAGGTCAGAGGCTTTGCAGAAAGGCTTTGCGGGCACACCTTCGGTTTTACGTGTCCACGTGCCGGCGAACATTGCAAAGTCACACTAACGCTCAGGGCCACTGTGCCAGCTTCAGCAGACTCTGACGAAGATTTTTTCAAAAGAACATTATGAGGAGTGGGCCAAGCTTCGTTGCTGCGTGAAGTTCTGTAAGCGGAAGATATGTGACAGGATGTGCGACACGGTGTGTGAGATAGTGTGTGTGGTATGGTGTGGGTGTGCATGCTCTCTCCCGCTCCCCCATTGCCCGAAGTGGGTCCACCCTGAAAACTGCCACATGCCTTGGACTATTGCGGGCGAGGCCCGCAGGAAGAATCGTGTCTGCGAACATGTCTTGGACATGGCCGGAAAATCCGCAGGACATATGGAGCCGCTGCAGGAGCTTTTGCAGCTCAAGAGTGCAAAACTCTCAGCCTCAGACTCCTTCAAGCTAGAAAGTCATGTCAGAGAGCTAAAGACTTGAAAAGTGGCAAAGACTTCTCCTCTGATTCTCAAAGGGATTCTGCTTGCCCAAATGTGGTACCCGAAGTTGTCCCCACAAGTCCTTCAAACTGCAGAGTGAAGGGCCTAGGCCGTAGGCGTTCCAAGAAAACCCATGACATGCTACGTGTTGCATGCTGCGTGCCATAGCTGGCCCCTATGCTACAATGGAAGTGTTTGCTGTGAGATTCTATGATGTGGTTGGGTTTCTTCGAGAATTTAAGTTTAAACAACTACACGGCCAGGGCACCAGGGCAAGCAGTCAGAGCGAAGAATTGCGGGCATACACACAGGATCTATGGGGCAGGCGTATGTGTGTGTGTGTGTGTGTCACATCACGCAACACATGTCTCAGAATGGCAAGGAGACCTGCCAAAGCCTCCATCCTAAATCGTTGTTGGCTGTGGATGAGGCAAATCTCGTCCTCGCGTGCTTTCCCTTAGTCTCAGTCCCCGACATCACAGCGGGCGAGGGCACGAAGAACAGACGTGGTGTACTTGCTAATCATGGGGCCTGCAAAAGAAAAGCTCAAGAAGCTCACGAAGTTGTGGTGCAAATCGCCACTTGCTGCGTTTGGCTAAACTAAAATACTATACCGAGGAAACGGCTGGCTTTGGAAAGCTGCGCTCGCCTTCGGGCCTCCTGACAGAAGGGGATGGGACATAGCGGGGCACAGGACAAATGGGGCATGGGATTTATGTCAGATAAGCAGCTCATGTACCATTTAGCATTCCGGAAAGAACTGACAGCAGCTCACCTTACGTTCCAGTCTTGAGTTAGTCGTCAAAAGCACTGACCGTTTCACATTTCAGCCTCCAAACAACCAAGTCCAAGTCCCAGCAGTCTGAGAAACCTGATCCAAAAAATGCTTCTTACAAAAATCATCCAAACAGTTCGTTTCACGGTCCAGCATCAAAACGAGCACGTCCAAGTCCAAGCATGCGCTGATCAGCACGTGTTGATGACAAAATACCGACACATGCGCTCATCCTTTTTTTGAGCCACACACCCCTGTGAGCGTCCCAGGAAACCCGTAGCATGCGCAGTGATGCTTCTGTGTCGATCGTGTTCAACAAGGAGGCGAGGCCTGGAGTTGCATACAGGCACAAACTGAAGCACCCATGTGTACGTGAGTTAGGCAGGGATACCGTCAACCCGACGCAAAATTAGCAACCCTTACCACTGCAATTTCCAGGCAACAAAGGATCATCCAGCTACTGCTCATTTCAAGCTCCAACATCCCAAACTCCAAACGACCACCCGGCCACTGCCCAAACCACATTCCAACATCCCAGACTCCAAGCCAACGATAGGGACAAAGACATCAAGGACGTGTGTCATTAACAGACGCTTGCCGCTTGCCCAGATGCCCTCAAGCTGCAGGATTCAGCGCAACTAATGACATGACAAAACATGAAAACAGACGATATCATTGACAAACGCCTGCCCAGATGCCTTCAAGCTCCAGGATTCAGCGCAGCCAACAATTGGGACAAAGACATAAAGGACGTGTGTCATTAACAGACGCTTGCCCAGATGCCCTCAAGCTCCAGGATTCAGCACAGCCAACGACTTGACAAAACATGAAAAAGACTATATCATTGACAGACGCCTGCCCAGATGCCCGCAAGCTCCAGGATTCAGCGCAGCCAATAATAGGGACAAAGACATCAAGGACGTGTGTCATTGACAAACGCTTGCCCAGATGCCTTCCAGCTCCAGGATTCAGCGCAGCCAATGACATGACAAAACATGAAAAAAGACGATATCATTGACAAACGCCTGCCCAGATGCCCGCAAGCTCCAGGATTCAGCGCAGCCAACAATAGGGACAAAGACATAAAGGACGACAAGCCAGAGATTGCTTTATGCGCCCGGAAAGAATGTCAGAAAAGATCAGTTGTCATCGGCCCGGGGGTGACTCACAACGCCGTCTCGGGACTCGGTCAAGATCGGTCCCAGAATCGGCGATAGCCGTGGCTGTTCCTGATCAGCGCCACGGTCGAAGAGCCATTGCGGCCTTGCCGGCGGTATCCGGCGGTGACACAGTCGTGGCCTCACTGAGCTGCTGCATGGAAGATCCGCCAGTTAGCTTCTAAAGCAGTTCGGAGCAACGCAAAGACTTTTAAGATATTTTCCTTGGGGATTGAGCTTGGGTTTAAGCTTCTGACAAACAGGAATGACATTCGGCGTGCTCTTCAAAAGAGGTGGCTCTGGATGTGAGGTGATGTGTGACATACGTTTGCGAAGACGGCTCTCACCTACAAGTACTCTCTGTTAGCTGAACTGGGTTTCTACGATGAGTTCCGCGTTTTCCAAGCGACACAGTCGGCTCTCCGTGAATAGACAGGTATACGGTTCATGCTTTCAGACAAATTCGAGCTTCACTTGTAACGTTTGGAGAGGCCTGCAGCTGCAAACCATGCGGAGGAGCCACTATGTCTGGCAGATCCCGGAGCATTGCCCAGCCCACAGTCTAATTTGTCATGTTTTTTGGACTCCGTCCTCTGACACCAAAACACGTGCTGTTCCAAAGCTTGGCGGTTGTTCGTCTATCTGCAACAGGCAACATGCTGCAAAGCAAAACCGAAGGGGGGTGTTCGACACTGGCCACTGACCAAAAGCAAGGTGCTGCTGTCCCCGCCCCCCATTGCAAATCATGGCAGGGTTCGGCATGTCGTGTAGCGGTACTGTAGCAGTGTATGCGAGTGTTGTAGATCACCATGTGCGCAGCCCCCCGCCACTGGTACCCCGCCCCACCAAGACCACACACTTAATTGCAACTCTGACAATAGGTCGGGGTGAAAGATCCGACGCCGAGCAGAATCACAAACAGCGGCTACATGGAGAACACTGTGCTAGCGGGACCGAATCTGCCGGTGTCGATGCGAGGGTCTTGGGTTACACAAATCGGCCCTTAAATCAGCATTTCAATGATTTCGCTTGCGATTTAAACTGAACGTCCAAGAAGCCCAGCAGCATCTGTTTAAAGTCTAGGGTGTGGGGAGGAATGCTTGAAAGTCGCCAACTGCTTGCCCCCAAGGGATCCTGCGAGGATCTCGGCAGTCCCATGTCCAAGTGCCCAGGCCGGCTCCAGTCACCTGGCAAAGGAGATAAAAAATCATTGTGATCGTAGTCTTGTTTGAATAGTAACAATAAGCATGTACAGAATAACACCAACATTTGAGACGAATAATGCAAAGACTGGCAATCGGGAATAATAACAACAAATATCCATGGCAACTATACAAATGGCCATACCAGCACTAAAATAACATAATATTACTACTAGTACTGAAAATATCTATACTTGATAGCCACAATACATACACAAAACTATAACTATTGGTAATGATGAAAGCAACAAAACTGCAAGTATATTCATTAGAAGCAGCTAAGAAAGACAAGAGGTGTTCACGGAACAAGTGGCGGGCATTGAAAATGCCAGGGGCGTGAACCTCACGTTCGTCTCTCCACCAAAGACCTCGGGATTCGTCCGTTTGCTCACGGAATCCCTCGTTCCTTGCGGCTTCAACCGCGTCGTTTCACAAAATCCAAGACAAGACATAAGCTACCCTGCAAGGAGGTATGGGGTTGAGGAGTGAGGAGTAGAGTTGCAGGTCTTGAAATGGTTGCATCACGTGGCATTCTGCCGCAAATCGTTCTCAAATTATCTTGCAATATGTGCTCATCCGCAAACTTACTTGACAGGGACGGCTTCAGAACCCAAAGCCTCAGACTTGACCGACTTCCGTTTTCGGACCTGGAGCGCCGATCTCAGATTCGGAAACTCCCTGCACCTCGCAGCTCCGGTGTTTGGGCTGCACCTGTACACATCGTGCATGCTGCATCTGGAGCGCCTGCCTGTCTACACCCATTGGTGTAAGAGAACGACACGCCAAATGCATCGGCCCAGAGAAGGTCTGCTGCATGTTGATCGACTTGGTTATTCATTCTATGCCAAGCACTCAGACCTATTTGGGCGAAGCAGCCAATGGATCAGAATGAGGGTCCTTTGAAAGAGGGCCCAGAGGTTAGGGACGTCGGACCCCTTCTTCCACTTGTGCTGCTGAGTGCGCCGACCTGTGCCTTCGGCGAACTCTACAGCATGCAACGAATTATGGAACACGCTCAGGACTCAGGACATCATGCCCTCTGCAACTTTCACGATGTCAGCCAGCACCTTCTCGAGGTGCTGCTGGGGAATCGACTTGATCAACCGGTTGAAATCACTCATCACCTGCTCCACTGTCTTTGGGCCTTCGTCAAGCTGTCTCGCGATCATGCTTGCATAGTTGCCTTTCTGCTCAAGTAACTCCGAGTGCTTCCCCTCTTCCACAATTTCTCCTTCACTTAAAACGATGATGCGATCAGCATTCTTTATGGTTGATAGCCGGTGCGCAATGACCAGGATTGTGCAAGCACCTTGCATTTGTTCCATCAGGGAGTCAAGTGCTTGCTGAACAATGGCTTCATTTTCGGCATCTAATGCTGATGTGGCTTCATCCAGTAGGAGGATGCGGGGTTGCCGCACCAATGCCCGTGCAATGCTGAGGCGCTGTTTCTGGCCGCCGCTCAGATCCTGCCCACTCTCGCACAAGATGGTGCTGTAGCCATCTGGCAGGCAACGGATAAACTCATCTGCATTAGCTAGCATAGCTGCGCGCTCCACATCCTGCGTAGTGTACTCTGTCGGGCGCAGCCCGTAGGCGATGTTTTCTGCTACAGAGCACCGGAAAAGCTGCGTATCCTGCGAGACAACACCGAGCCTGGCCCGATAGCTAAGAAGATGAAGCTGCTGCAGATCTGTGCCGTTGATGAAGACCTGGCCCTTTGAAGGATCGTAGAAACGCAGCAAAAGCTTGCTGAGAGTCGACTTACCAGAACCGCTCCGCCCAACCACTGCCGTGGTCTTGCCAGCCTGAATTGCCAGGGAGACTCCTGCCAAGACCTTCTTCGTTCGGCGCGTTGGATACTGGAACTCCACATCCTTAAAATGGATTGCTACTTCGGCCTCCGGAAAAGAATCACCTTCCTCCTCCCGAATGTCTGGCAACAAATCCAACAGCTCGAAAACACGTTGGCCCGCGCTCATTGCTTTGACTGGCTCGTTCAAATTGTCAGTCAACGAAGCGAAGGAGCCACTGAGTCGATTCCACATGTAGGTGAAAGTCACGATGGAACCTATCTCAAACTCCTCCTTCAAAGCTAAGCGGCCGCCATACCACAGGATCATGAAACAAGCACCCTGCTGAACCAATGACGACAATAAGTTGGCGCATCCTTCGCCCCAGGCCACCTTCAAGCCCACATCACGGTACTTTTGCATCTGCATCTGGAACTTCTCCAGTTCTATTTCTCGGGCTCCAAACACTCTCACCGTGCGAATGTTGGTAAGGGCCTGGACAGCACAGCCCTGAGCATCGCAATTGAAAGTGTACTGTGAAGCCATGAGTTTCTGTGCCCAGCAGCTGAACTCTCTCGACAAGTGGCCTACAGGTGAAAGAACTGTGAAGGCGAGGAGGGTGAGTCGCCAGGAGCTCTGAAGACAAATGCCAAAGCCAACGACAAGCATCACGATGTTTGCTGCGAAATCATGAATTATTATGTGAACAGGCGACGTCGCCTGACCTAAGTCCATGGTTAAGCGCGCACTGAGCTGTCCGGTCATCATGTGGTCGTAAAATGCGATGTCCTGCTTCAGCAGGGCATCGAACAGCTTCACGGACATCTGGGAGAAGAGTCGTGTGCCAAGTCCCCTGCTGGCAACATCAAGGGCCGTGGCTGCGAGAGCCTGTGCTACCACGAGGCATGCAAATGCCAGGAGGCAGTGGTCGAAGTCTTCTTCCGAGCCGCTTGTCAATGCAGTGATGACTTCACCCTGTGCCTTCGGGATGTAAGCGTTTAAACACTGGCTGCAAATCACGCTGAGCGCCAGCATGAGGAGAGTGAAAGCCTGAACCTGTGAAGCAAGGCGGTACATGTACTGCCTCACTGTCAGTTGCCTTGGGTGCTTGGGCCCTTTATCCCCCCAGAGCAGCCCTGAAGTCGTACTACTTGCTTTCGCATTCTTGCGGTAGCAACGTGTGCAGACTTGGAAGCCGCCGTGTCCCCACTGATTTGGAGTGCATTTGCGACACTGAACCACCAGATATCCACCTGTCTTCTCCCCCACTTTCTCGTTGCAAACAGAACACTCCACGAAGCCTTTGTTCTCAACGTTCCTCCAGTACAGTGGGTGCTCATGTAGGGACAGATGCAAGGCCTCCCCCGCGCACAGCTCCTCCACGAAGCTTTTGACAAAGACATGCTCCAGCTGCATTATGAGCAATACGAGGATATTTAAGACAGCTGCAAGGCCACTCCAAAAGTCGGACATGTGTAGGTGCACCACACGAGTTGCAATCCAGAGGGAGCAGCTGCTGATGTAAAGGAAAGATAACGAAAGCAACCAGCTGAAGCATTTCACGCCCTTCTCATTACGCTTGAGCTGTTCTTCAGAGATTGCGCTGGTGTCGAGCAGAGGTGTTGCACGCCGGATCTCACGGCCCGTGCCCTGTCCCCACGGCCACTGGCTCTTAGCAAAGCGGGACGCCAACAGCATTGTGCAGGAAGCCACGAGCAAACGGCCGACTAGAAGCAGAATGTCCACACTCTCGCGGGCGCACGAGATGACCAAGACCGAGTCTAAAGCCAACAAGATTCCCGCGAGCATGACCATGGTTGCCAAGCTTCTCTTCTTGCGCACCCTGCAATTCTTCGAATCTCGGATGCGATGCTAGGCACTGCAGAGGCTAAGCCAAAATGGCTTCGAGCAGGCAAGTGAACTGCAAATCTTGAGCCCTATTGCCGATGGTCATCTTGGCACATTATGCACAAAGGGTTGCCACTGAGGATTCAGCTTGTCCTTCGCCCGGTGGCACAGCCCAGCAGAACCTCGCAGGCACATCGGCTCTAAGAGGCTGTCGCCACGGGCTACATGTGGCACGTTCAGCTCACATCCCTAACCTGCTATCAATCGCCTTTAGATGCATGCAGCTTTTAGGCATGCCCAGGCAGGTTTGGCTTCAACCTTATGTGGAGTACGCATCCTACAGTGTGGAGACATACTGTGCTAACTTTTTCGGGCCTCAGCTGAACAACGGCAGAGGAGGCAGCGCTGGCAGTCATCAAGTCCGGTTTCAAAAGGCATGCAATCACTCCCAGTCGAGAATCGCGCGTATGGCTCACCGCCGATGCTCCGACTGCAAGCAGAGCAGTTCACTTGCCAAGATCTGTGTTGCTAAGTTGCTACTGTGCAAACACCACTGACTCGCGAAAGGCTTTTTCGACGCCGAGGTGCATACGGGTTCCAGCGTCTACACACCACTAAAGTCCATTAAAGTTGGGAAACACATTCGAGTCTCGCATCAGTCCAGGCAAGGGACCACGGAATGGTTCATAAGCTAACAGTGCCAGCACAAGCCTGTCAAACGATTTTGAGAAGGTGCAAGTCAAGTCAGCATGTCTAAAGGTGGCTTAAAATTTGCACCGCGCTTCGGAACAGCCAAATTTGCCTCAGACCAAAATGTACTCCAGAACCTCAGCTGCTCAGCAGGGGCAACATGCAGTTGGGAAACATATGTGGCTTCGGATGGGTCCGAACTTCTGACGAGGTCTGCTTGCAAGCCTGGGCGCCTTCTTCGGCAACCATCCATCTGTCATGTTATCCGGCCTCTTTGGACTGATTCTCTCGCCATACACCCAGCCGCGCTCAGCCTCCTTGGACACAGCGATGAGGTCGCCTTTTAAGAGACCCAAGGTTCCTGCGCCCTCTTCGGGCCAATCTGCAGCCACCCGGCAAAGGGAGACTCTCTTGGCGACGGCCTGTGGCACCCAGCCTTCGCTTGGAGGTTCGTGGGCCTGGTCACCGTGCTTCACTGTCGCGGCATAGACCCAGCCATGAGCTGCTCGGTGGGACACATTCACCAGTGTTCCCTTCTGAACCCGCAGCTGTCCTGGCTGATCTGGTTCCCAATCATGCGTTGTGATGTGGAGCAGCACTTGTGCCTGCTCGTTGCTGTCTGCCGCCGTATCTGGAGGCTGAGCTGGTGAGGGACCCGGTTGAGCCGTCTGGCCCGCATAAGGCACTTGGTATGGCGATTGGTACTGGCTGGATGGCGGCTGGCAAGGCGCCTGCGCCTGTGGAGGCTGTGAACCTGCGATGGGCGATTGCCCATAATGTGGAGATGCTCCTGACTGGCCATACTGCGTGGGCATTACTGGCTGTTGCACTGCTGGGTTTACTGGCTGCATCATGCCATGTTGGGCCGCATAGGGGTCGTAAGAGTACGGCGGCTGGCCGAAGGCGTAAGGCTGGTCGGGCATTGGTGGAGACGCACCTTGATAGTACATGGAAGTCTGAGGTGGGTATGAAGGCGTCTGGCCCATGCTGGCCGCATACATGTTACCTGGTGGAACTCCGTTAGCATAGGAGGCCATCGGATCAAGCCCATGCTGCATCATGCCACCGGGCAATCCGGCATGAAAGCCGGCGCCAAAGCCTGCTCCTGCCTGTACGGATGCGTGGAGGACCGCTACCTGTCGAGCTACCAACCTGTTCTTGCCACTCTTTTTGTGATGGTCGCGCTCCACGTCAAACTCCACCACGGTGCCGGCTGTCAACTCGGCATCTTGAAACTGCTGAAGCAGGGCATCGCGATGCACGAAGAGGTCGCCTGCAAACTTGTCGGAGTTCACAAAGCCCCATGCGCCCTGGAAAGACCGGATCACACCTTGGAGGCGTCGGCCAATCCAGTCACATGGCCTCAGGAGTGCACTGGTGGTGATCTGCTTCGCAACAGTGCGACCCCGATCGTCCAGGGCAACGTCGAACTCGACTGCCTGGCCCGTTCGAAGTGGTGGCTGGCCATCCTGGATCTGGTCTGGGATGAGCAGCAAGTTATCCCTGTGGACGAAGAGATCTCCATCGAAGGCGGCTGCATTGAGGAACCCCCACCTGTCTGCAAAGCGACGTACATAGCCTCGGTGCCTTTGGTTTAGGCAGTCGCTGGGCTTCCGTCCCACTATAGGCTTCAGAGCCACAGCGTGAGGCCTACCTCTTTCGTCTGCCTGAACATCAAATTCGACACCCTCCTCCTCCTTGAACTCGTAGTTCTGACACTCCAACATCACATTCTCGGTCTTGAAGCCGAGCTCACCTTCAAACAAATGACTCTTCACAAAGCCCGTGCCGCTGCTCATGACATACTTCGAGATGGTGCCCTGCAACCGCTCGTGCCGCAGGGCCAGCGGGTTGCTGACAGGTCCCGAAGCAGTGGCCGAAGCAACTTTTTCCTGGGTTCCTGCTGCAACGGATCCCACGGGCTGAGCCCCGGGAGGAAGGGGTCGAGGCACGATTGAACCACTTTCTTCCTTGGCATCATCCTCTAAAGCTGCCATGCTACCCAAAACTTTTCGAAAGCTCTAACAAAGCGCTGTCCTTGAGCATAGGATAGGAACACATGGGCGCGGGCATGCTTGCAAGTGTGAAAGCTTGAAAGAACAACTAGCAAGAGTCAAACAACCGCTCTGGCAGTCAAGAGATTTGCCCCAAAAGCGAAGCTGGCAGCAGCAAACGCCTGCTTCGAAAGCTGGCTGGATGCTGCTTGTGGCCCACGCCTGCACCAGGTGGTTTGGTTGCTTCAAAATGGTGCCAACACCTCCCCAACAGCAATTTTGCCCCAATCCTGCGTGACAGGTGGTTTGGTTGCTTCATACTGACGTCAAAACCTCCCAACAACGGCTTTGCCCCAATCCTGGCCGACCATTTAAAGGTGCTTCAACATGGCGCCAGCAAGTCCAAACAACGACTTTACCCCAATCTTCGCTGACAGGTTTGATTGCTTCGAAATGGCGCCACCTCCCAACAGCGACTTTGCCCCAATTTTGGCTGACAGGTTTGGCTGCTTCAACATGGTTGCTTCAAAATGGCGCCAGCACCTCCAAACACCGACTTCACCCGAATCATGGCCGACAATCTTGGTTGCTTCAAACTGAGCCACCGCCTCCATACGACGATGTTGCCCCAATCATGGCTGACTTTGGATACGTCAATTCGGTCCTGGCTGACAGGTTAGCAATTTGGCTGCGCTTCCAAAAATTTGCAGCACGTCCCAACAACGATTCTACCTCAATCCTGGCTGACAGGTTTGGTCGCTCCAAAGAGTGCCAGCGCCTCCCACCAACAAAGTAACGCCAACACCTCCCAATGACGACTTCAACTCAATCCTGGCTGACAGGCTTGGGTATACGTTTCCACACCAACGCCTTCACCCCAAACCTGGATGACAGGTTTGGTTTGACAAGCTTGGTTGCTTCACATTCGCGCCAGCACTTACTTCCCAATAGCGATTTTACCCCAATCATGGCTGACGGGTTTGGTTGCTTTAGAAATGGTGCCAGCATGTCGCCACAACGACTTTACCCCAATCCTGGCCGACAGGTTGGGTTGCTTCAAAATGGCGCCAACACCTCCCATGCACGTTTTTGGCTCAAATCCTGGCCGACAGGTTGTGTTGCTTCAACGTGGCGTTAGCTGTGCCCATCGTGGACGACAAGTTGAAGATGTTTCAACAAGGGGCAGGCACCATCCAACAACGACATTCTCCCAATTCTAACTGACAGGTTTGGTCGCTTCAAGACGGTGCCTGCAATTCCCACCAACGACTTTACCCCAAACCTGGATGACAGCTTTGGTCACGTCAAAATGCCGCCAACACCTCTCAACAGCAACTTTACCCCAGTCTTTGTTGACAAGTTTGGTTGCTTCAAACTGGTGCCAGCACCTCCCAACAGCGGCTTTGCCCCAATCATAGCTGACAGGTTGCAGGTTGCTTGGTTGCCTCAAAATGGGCCAGCACCTCCCAACAACGACTTGACCCCAATCTTGGCCAACAGGTTTGGTAGCTTCAGAATGGCGCCACCTCCCAACAACGACTTTACCCCATTCTTGGACGACAGGTTTGGTTGCTTCAACATGGCACCGGCACCTCCCAACCACGACTTTATCACAATCTTGGCTGACAGGCTTGGGTGTTTCACCTCCCAGCAACCACTTTACCACACGAAATTGCTTTCCAGAGCATCTGTAGAAGCATCTGCATACCGTGCAAACCACACGAAACTGCCTTCCAGAGCATCTGTATACTGTGCAAACCACACGAAACTGCTTTCCAGAGCATCTGTATACTGTGCAGGCCACACGAAACTGCCTTCTAGAGCATCTGTAGAAGCATCTGTATACTGTGCAGGCCACACGAAATTGCCTTCCAGAGCATCTGTATACTGTGCAGGCCACACGAAATTGCTTTCCAGAGCATCTGTATACTGTGCAGGCCACACGAAACTGCCTTCCAGAGCATCTGTATACTGTGCAGGCCACACGAAATTGCATTCCAAAGCATCTGTATACTGTGCAGGCCACACGAAATTGCCTTCCAGAGCATCTGTATACTGTGCAGGCCACACGAAATTGCTTTCCAGAGCATCTGTAGAAGCATCTGCATACCGTGCAAACCACACGAAACTGCCTTCCAGAGCATTTGTATACTGTGCAGACCACACGAAACTGCCTTCCAGAGCATCTGTATACTGTGCAGGCCACACGAAATTGACTTCCAGAGCATCTGTAAAAGCATCTGTATACTGTGCACACCTGGTGACACGGGCCAATCCAAGGAGCACCACATTCTACTGGTGGATTTGGGGTTCCTAATTCTTCAGGGAGTAAGGGGGCCAGGCGGGTCTGCAAAGGCCCAGGCCTGGTGACACCGGCCAAACCAAGGAACAGCAAATCCTACTGGTGGATTTGGGGTTCCTAAAGAAGCACCAAATTCTACTGGTAGATTTGGTAGATTTGGGGCTTGTAAGGCCCAGATTCTTATGAGGACCCAGGCCCCTCCAACAAACACCAATTTCCACTATACCATTCCCGAGCTGCACAATCCAAGGCCATTCGGCAGCAAGTCCAGCGGATCCCTCTGAGAACCCTTGAACCGTAACAAATCTCACGTGAACGAACGCGCACAACTCCTCCATCGTAATTTGAACAGTGCAGGAATTTCCGAAATCTTCGAAAGTGGGTCGTCTAACCTAATCAGCCGAGAATGTGGCGAATTACAGGCCTGGATCTGCTGCATCTTGGACAATGAGCACGTGCCTGCGCAATGGAGCTACAATGGTTTGCAAAGTCTACTTCTGAGCGACGACATTGCACAAGCAGGCGAACCTCAATTGTGTCAACTTGGACCTGAGCAGGATGAAGCCTCAGTCGTTTGGAGAGGTGCGCTGAGATCTGCAGAGGGCTGTTGAATTTTTCAAAGAATTACTTCTGGATACTGGTTGAACTGGAAAGCTCTATACCAAATCACAACGCGGCCTGCGGCCAGCTGCAACGTCAGCATTGCTCAACTGAGCAGCTCGCAGCCTCCAACTTCGAACTTGCTGGTCTTCATCGCAGTGCTTGTCCTGAGATATGGAAGGTAGTATGATGTGGTGTGGGCTCCCCAGCGTCCCCAAGCGCCTCAGCATGCCTCTCAATTGCCAGCACGGTCCACTGATCCCAGTCTGAGATGACCTCAACGCTATCTCTATCTCGCGCACAGGGGGCTCGCACAAGTTCAATCTTGAGGATAAGTCCTGGGCAACGATGCATTCAATGGTTGCTTCGCAGAGGTCTCCGAAAACTCCGGGAGAGCACCCCAGCAAGCTGCATCGTGTGCTGCATGACAGCTCAGCACAGGACTAACCGTCAGGAACATCTTGTGCAGCGGGCAGCTGGGGAACGCCATCATGTCATTTTGCAAAAGAACATTGCTTTGTTTGCTCAACCCAGACCTGTCTGAGACACCATGATTGCGGATTTCTTCGCTCCATCCATGGCCGACCGGCTGACTGTCACCAAAAATCATCAAATGGCTGAACTGCAAGATTGATCAGACAAGGCATTGGCCAATGCTGTGCTGTCTGAACCGTTCGCAAGCACTCAATGCACTAGCTATCACTAGTTGCATTTCATTTTCTTCTACTTTTGATATCGAAGCCACTGGTCGATGACGTAGTCCGCAATGAGTTAGCCGCAACTATCATGCGCTCCTCCCGCTCTCCGTGCAAAGCAGTTTTGCTTGCAAGGTCTGCGCCAACAATCTGCCAGGCCATGAAACACCGGTTCAACCCAGCTCACATCGAGCATAAAGGGGAGGCTGCGAGCGGCTGAGGCCCAGCTCCGAGCCGCAAACTGCCTGCCCATAACATCTCATGAATCTCATGACGGGTGTTTATTTCTGTTGCGAGATGTGCAGGCACAAATACTGCGGGGTGCTGCGTTCACGCTTTCAAACGTAATGGCACCTGCCTATTGCATGTCAACCACTGCCCCACCGCTTCATGTCACTTGTGCACACGAGCATGGCCAGCTCTACATGCCCCATCACGTCAGTAGAATATGCCTACAGACAAGCAGGATGGGCAACCTGCAGACTGTGCACCCATATGTTCTTATATGCCCTGTTACTGTCTGGCAGAGCCTGTAAGATGTCATGGTTGACCGACATGAACCAAACATATGCTTACTGACACTCCCTGGTGGCTTCTGATATTCTAGACGGCAAATGCCACGTCTGGCGCAGTGCCTCGCAGCCTACAAGTTGGCATCATGACAAAATGGCAAATAGCGCGTTGGCATCTGCGGCAGCCTCATATTCAAAGGCCTGCACGATGTTCGACAGGCTGGCAACGTTCAGGTATGCCTGGCATGTCAATGCACGAACACAACCCACTTGGAGCGCTCAACCCTGTAGAAGCAGCAAACACACGAAAGAATTCCTGGATTCAATCTGCGATTGCAAACGTGTGGGACGCAACGTGGGATGATGGATGTTTTGCTTCGGCCGGGGTTAGGCCGCACTTCAGGAAACTCTCAAGATCCCTGAAGCCGGAAGGATGCGGGGTTAGGGCTCTCCTTGCTGCTTAGAAATTCATATGGATCAGTATCAGATCCAAAATGTAGAAATCCAGGACTCCAGGATATATCAGGATATATCAACCAGACTAGAACCACCTCCAGACTGAAAATGTAGGATCTCGATTCGACGTTACTAGGTTACAAATTTATACAGAGCAGGATCAGGACTTGCGACCTATATGGATTCAGAAAACAATATAAATTCCTAGGAAAATGTGAGACAACGTTTTTCCCTACCATTGGAGAACTTGTCCCATCATTTCGTGGTTTAAGGTATCCTAAGATCTCCATGCCTAAGGCCTGATGAAAGAGTGGGGAAACTGTGATTCTAGACAGCTTTTCCCCCACGAGAATTTGGCTGAACATCTGTTTGGCTGAAAATCGCAGGACGTAGGCAGAGCCGTACTGGGCGACTTTCCCCCTTGTTTTCCTATCGTGGGAGAAGTTGTCTTGGACCCTTTCCGTTTTGAAGGATCTCATGCTACCAGAAAACCTTGGTCAATGGGATGAGGGTGTCATATATGTGTTTATGTGACATCCTTGCCATGACTTACCTCATGCATCACCGCTACACAGCTTCCACTGGTGGCCCACAGGTCGGCACGGCTCGGGTTGGCCAAGAAGCAGCTCTTCGACATGAGGAAGGAACTGGAAGACTTCTTTGGCAACCTGAAAATGCGTAGGCTGTGCTAGTGTTCTGTGCTTTGTTCTGAACCGACACGTTGCAAGCCCTCCTTGTTGGCGTTTTTGTCCGGGTGCCACTCCAACTTCCAGCACCTCGCCAGAGAGATCGGAGTTTATCAACAAAGGGGGTTCTTCGGGACCCTGCACCAATACTTCTGCGCCATACCGTCTGCAACGGGGCCTTGTTCCATAGGATAGAATCGAGGATTTCGCGAGCCGGCCATATTTTCGTTCAGTTTCAGGACTGGCTTAGTATTGGAATCGAGGTTTTCATGATCCGGCTAGGTCTTCGTTGAGTTTCAGCGTGGGCTTAGTACTAGAATCGAGGTTTCGGGCGGCCGGCTGGATTTTCGCTGCGTTTCAGCACTGGCTTTGTACTAGATAGAATCGAGGTTTTGGTAAGCCTGCTAGCTTTTCGTTGAGTTTCCGTATTGGATTAGCATTGGAATCGAAATTTTCATGAGTCGGCTACATGTTCGTTGAGCTCCAGTACTAGCTCAGTATTGGAATCAAGGTTTTCGCGAGCCGGCTAGGTTTTCGTTGACTTTCTTTGCTCCCTTAGTACTAGAATCGAGGTTTTCATGAGCGGGCTGGAGTTTCGTTGAGTTTTAGGTTTCGGGGAGCCAGCTGGATTTCAGTACTGGCTTAGTATTGGAATCGAGCCTTTCGTGAGCCGGCTAGGTTTTCCTTGAGTTTCAGTACTGGTTTAGTACTACGAGGTTTTCATGAGACGGCTAGATTTTCGCTGAGTTTCAGTACTGGCTTAACATTGGAAATCCACACCTCATAATAATTCTGTGCAAAAGGCTCTTTACAGAGGTCTGGAACAAGGACCGGATCATCTGTTCCGGAAGGTCTGGAACGGGGTCTGGATCAAAAGGGCCCACGACCATGTTCCATACCAAGAGAAAAGATAAACTCCAAGATTTTGGAACACTGCAGCTGATGATGGTGTAGCAATCTAAGCGCCTCAAAGCCCGCTTCCTTGCCGCCGCGCTCGTGCCCTCGGTAACACAACGCAAGTGCAATTTGCAGCGCGTGGCCTATCGGCAGCATCGCATAGCAAACGTTGCTGGCCTCGGCGATCATGCGCCCGACTTCCTGTGAAGAGAGACTTTTCAAGAGACCGCGCCAGGACCATGCAAGCGATCGCTGCGCCTTAAGCATTCTAGCCTTGATTTGTTCCACCGAGCTCTCCATCGCCTGACACAGGCGATGGATTTCGCGCGGAATGTCACGGAGCGCGGGGAGTGCCTGACAGACCTGTGCCTTGAGCTTCAGCAGATCCTGTCACGTTTGCGCTATTATCAATCTGGATCTATTTGAGCTCATTTGGAAAAGCCGATTCTGACCTCAAAGGTGTAACATAGAGACATACCACATCGATCCCGAGCAAGCCTTTGCATAAGCCCTTCCCTTGCTGCTGCCACGATTCCCCAAAGCCTCTCAGAGTTTGTGTTCGCACCTTTGCACAGCCCATTCCTACGCCTTATCCCAGAACTGCTGGTGGATGTTTCAATTCCTATCTGCTTGCGTGTGCAGCACTGCAATCGGGGACACCAACATTCCTGGCGGCAAGGGAAGATGCGTAGTCCCTGCTCAACGTCCTCGCCAGCAGCGTATTGAACATGCTCTGTTTGGTTGTGCCTACGACTTGCGCACTGCCTGGAACGCTTCATCATGCTGTCCCCGCTTGTGCCGGGCGACGCAGCGACGGTAGAAAGCTGCCACCTTCACTTCGTTGGCCTGTGAAGGCTCGCAGGCTTCAAAGAGCGCAGGCTGCCCCGGAACTCCCGAATCCCACCTTACTTATGTGCGTCGAAATGGTGCGCAAAGTGGCATTGCAGTCCTCCTGGGCGAAAGCAAAGTCAGTCTTCGGAGCGTGCACTTCAAAACGAACTCTGCCACAATATAGCCTTGCAACATGTTCCAGCTTAGGCTACACTGATGCAAGAAAGGTCCTCCGCAGCTTCCCACTGCCTTGCACATCAACACAAACAAAACGCTTGTTGGGCGTCCCGTGTCCTATAAATTGCTCTTCTACAGACAAACTCCGGCTGACCCATAGACACCCAAGTCCAGGTGAGCCGCTCTTGCTTGATCCATGCGAGTGCTCGGTTAGCGGACAGTGTGGCACGCTGCCACAGCTCCCAGGACCTGAGATGAGTTCAGGTCTCTGTCCAAGGCCTTAATCGAAAATCTTGGGCTTTTGCAAATCATGGAGGGCTTCTGGAACCTTTCAACCAGAAAACTGACTTCAAAGCTGAGGTGAAGTTTATTGAAGTTTGCTGCAAGATGGGCCCCCACGAATTCAAGAAGCTGGAGGGCATCCGACAAATACTCGGAAGCTTTCTTGAAATCCTCAAGACAGTGCTGGGCTGTGGTTAGTTCTGACAGCAACGGCAGCGGTGGCATTCGAGGCGGCAAACCTTGTGCGCCAAGGCTTGCCGCGCCGTTTCTTTCAGATTCTCGATGTCCTCACAGACAGAACTTGCCTCCTCTTCCCGTCAACGTCGCGCACTGCGCCTGGCTGCTCTTGGGCAGATCTGCTGTGGAGGGTGCCGGCCTTAGAAGAACTCCAAATTTGATTTGCATTTGTTGCGCGCCTGTGCTGCTCGAAAAGCGCATCGACAGCAAAGCTTCCTCATCCACTAACAACTTGCAGAGGATGGCTACCAGGTATTGCCCGCCTGGCCAACGGGAAAGCTAGCGGAAATCACTCCTATTGGGTATTGATTGATCATACCGTTACCCAGTATGTTGTTGCTTGAAAAGGTGAGTGCACCTGAATACACGACCATGAACACGCCACGAAGAGGCGAGCGTTGCGAAACCCATCAAACACTGCATAATTCCTGAAACATAGCTGCCCAGGCTGCGGCACTTGGGGATGCTGCTTCTGCAAGAAGTCAATCTTAGCTTCGAGCCTGCGCAAGTTTTGAAATCCTGCAGGAATGGTTGGCCTTGAGTTCCTGGCCTTGACATGTCTTCGTCCTGCTGCAGCACTTGCATGGACTTGGTCAAAGCAGCTTAACCAACGCCATGCATTGTGTACTGCAGAATTGTCTGTCCTAATGTTTTATCTGCATCTTGTCCTGCAGCTGCTGGTCACATGCCTGAGAGCTGAAGCTGCTTTCGCTTCCGCTTCCCGTCGCCGAACAGGTGGCTGCCTTCGACGCATAAACTTGGACACTGGGCAAGCGACGGCAGGAAAGCACAGTGGCATGCCAAAAGTGCCATGGACCAAACAGCAATGGATGCCCTGGCTTTGGCCTCTCAACATGCAACTCCCAAGACTCCAGTCTCCTTTGAACAGCGCCTTCAACCCTTCTCTATCCTCGGCTGCAAGTGGCCTTTCCGGTAGTGCTTGACGGGTCCGTGGGCCTGGGACCATGCGTAAGAAACTGAGCCGAATGCCATTTCAAGACCTAAACGGAACAGCAAAGTCGGACTCATACCTGCGCACCTGGGGGCGGCTCGTTTAGGGCTCAGACGGTGAACACATGTACAGCAGCTACCAGAGTGACAACACTTCCAACATGGTGTTTCCAAAACAAAGTAGCGAACCAGTTGTGCACAGGCTGGGGTGAATTTATGACAAGACCTTCTTGCCTGTCGTTTCCGTCCCAGACGTGCCTCTCATGTCCAGGATTCCTTTTTGTACATGCGAGGGTTGTTCCAGATTCCTCTTCATCAACCGCCGCGCCTCCTGATACCACTCTATCGCCCAATTGTTTGATGATGCCAGGCAACCAACTAAGGCTGCTTGAAATAGACATGCAGATATTTCTGCGATATCATGTTTTCTTGTTCACCTCCTTGTTCCGATGACTCTGCACGAGCTGCGGCTTGGAATCGACTGTGCTGTCTTGTGCTTTGTATCAAGAGGACCAGTGGCCCGCGGTGGTCTCGTCGTGATTGGACAACCTGTTCAATCCAACATGTAGTGTTGCGGAACGGCCCACCCACCTCTCCCACACCCACAATCTCCCACAACCTCTCCCTCGACCTCCCCCACGACCTCTCCCACGACCTCTCTCTAGCTCTCTCTCTCTCTCTCTCTCTTTCTTTCTCTCTTTCTCTCTTTCTCTTTCTCTCTCTTTCTTCTTTCTCTCTCTCTCTTCTCTCTCTCCTCTCTCTCTCTCTCTCTCTCTCTCTCTCTGTCTGTCTCTCTCTCTCTCTCTCTCTCTGGTGAACGTACTAACGGAAACCATGGGCGGTAGTTAAGGAAACCGGGAGGGCCACCCGTAACGGAAACCAGAGCAGGACGCAACACAAACCGCAGAATTGAAGTGGACACCAGACAGGGACACATGGGAAACCGACGCGGGGCTGTAACGGAAACCAGAGCAACTGTAACAGAAACCGGGCGCGGACTGTAATGCAAACCGACGCAGGGGACGCGGACCAAAACCTCGCGGTTTCAGGTTCCCCAAACCGGGGCAGGACCAATACAAGGAAACCAACGCAGCATTCAGTGGAGAGCAAGCGGAATAAATACCCCCCGTTTCGTACGGAGCACATACCACTGAATAATTACAAGCAACAGTGGCTTGAGTAGGAGAAATAGCAGTATCCAAACAAGCGTAAACATCTGATCCCCAAACCCACAACCTTGACTTTCTACAGCTTGGGGCTTGAGAGGTCAGTGGGCGACCCGAAACCATAAACCCCTAGACCCCCCAAAAAGCTCACTGCCTCAAGACTGTAGCTGCAAAAGAGTTTGGGGCTCCCTCCCCAGTTTAGGGTTTTGGGTTAGGGCTCCGGGTTTAATGGTTTAGGGACACTTGGGCTCAGGGTTCCGGGCTTTTGGGCCAATGTTGCCCCAGGAATCGAAAATGCAGTCCCTCATATGCAATACTACAACGTACTTGGGTGGGCTATACTTACAACTATACAAAAACGCAGATACGGTAAATAAGAAGTGCAATCAGTCCAGACTCGGCTCAAAGCGTGTTGACTTGGTCGCTGGGCGACCCTAAGCCGTAAACCCCTAATCCCCAAAAGAGTTTCACGGCCTCGAGGTTTGAGGCCCTAGAGAGAGTGTGGGTTTTAGCGGAGACGCGCAGACCCCAAAAGAAGGAAAGGAACCAGACCCCCAGAAGAAGATGCTGGCCAAAAGAAGATGGTGGCAGAGAAGCTGAAAAGAAACCCAAACCCAAAACGAGTCTGACTGCATCTTTCGGTCCTTGCGGGTGTTGGATACAAATCATGGACAGGCTGGTTTCTGGTACTACATTCTGGGTTTCCTGTTGCGGTTCAGGCCTGGTTTCTGTTACTAGGTTGCTGTTACACGCGTTTGGTTTCCGTGCGTGCGTTTACTGCTGTCTCTCTTCTTCTTCCTGGCTATGAAGATACAAGCCTTTTCTAGGACCTCCGACCCTGGGGTCAGCCGTGGAAAGAAATGAAAGAAGGACTCACCACCTAACACCTGTCTCTCTCTCTCTCTCTCTCTCCCCGTCTTTCGCCCAAGCTCTGTCTTCAGGCCCTGGCTGCATATCCGGACGCAGGATCGGATGGCGCTGCCTGATAGGCAGGCAAAGCTGCCATGGTGACGGGTCAACCAAGCAAAATGCACAGGTTGTTTTGAGGGGCATGGCCAAAAAAAAACGAGCAAGACTCACGCTCGGACCCGCGCTCGCTTAACTTCTTCTCAAGCTCGCTGACGCGCCTTACATTGACAAGTCTCAACGATCCAAAATCTCGCCAAACAGCTCCCCTCAGTAATGGAATGGCAGCTGCGCTCAAATGCAACCATTCAGCCAAGCTGCACCTGGCTTCGCTTGACCTCCGCCGCCAGTCGCCTGAAGATTGTCGGCAAGGTACATGTTAAAGAAAAGAAAATATCCAGGGAGCTAGAGAGACTCAAGGAAAGCACAGAACTCGAACCAAGAGGCTCTGTGTTGCACTTCCTAAGTTGCGCATACATCACACACTCCCACTCCGTGTATACCAAATAAATCAATAACTAAAAAACAAATAAACAAACAAATAAACAAATAAACAACTAAATAAATAATAATATATGTATATGTACATATGC